AATTTCTCACGTGAAACATGATATTTATTAATTACCTAATGTTGCCATTTTAGAGTGCAGCTCTTGGGCGCCCGTTTCCGGCTTGAACCGAGTCGGCGTAACCGCGCGTTGCATTATATGGCGTTTCCCATAATGACGTCACTCGTGACGTCACGTGTGACGTCACGAGTGTGACGTCACAGGGAGCCTAAATTTGGCGGGAAATGTTTCTGCCAAGTGTTTGGGCAATTTTCCCTTTAAATCTAGCGGTAAAATTTCTCCGCCAATTTTTTCCGCTTCCTATAGCGGGAACGTCTTCCCGCAAAATTTAGCGGGGACATTTTCCCGCTAAACTTATCGGGGAAATTTTTCCACCAAAATTTGTGCGGATATTTTCCGCTATATTGAGCGGGGAATATACTCAAATATTGTCCCACAATTTCCCCGTAAATTCCCCTCCGTACCCTTCCCTCCCCTCCGACCCTGCCCTCCTCCTCCACAAGAGCTGCGCTCTAATTCATTATAACTCCAGAAACAAATTCTCAAGCTATACTAAAAGGTAAATAATGAATTACCAAATACAAAAAAAACCTAATCTTAGTGCATTAAATTATAGTACAATAACGGCTCCTCAAGTTGAAATTCAAGACGACACGAAGGGTAGGCACCGATGGGTACCTTAAGATATACTCGCACTTCAAGCATCGTCGCTCACTAGAATATTCTGATTCGAAGCAGAGTTTGGCTGTCTGAGTGTTTTCGGAATCTGAAAGCACGAGCTTTTTTTTAGAGAGCTCCAGCGAAATCTTGACAGTCTCTTATTTGCCTCAAAATGGGTTCAGCATATTAATAGACGCATCTGAACTAGTAATTCCAATTACAACTTGCAAAAGGTTTTATCTGTTTTTTTTTTTTGGTTTTTTTTTTGTGAAGTTATTGAATCTAGAATTTGGCGTGAGAGGCTGAGAGACAGTCTACTGGTAACACGCAAAACGTGACGTCAAATCTTGGAATAGGGGGACAGTACATATCTTGTTTCCGATACGTTACAAGAAGTTTGATGGTGTGAAACGAATGCTGGGAAAGTTTACGCCATCAAGACAAAACAAAACAAACAAACAAAAACGAGCCATTTACTGTGTTTTCTTGAGTACCTGCTTGACTTGCAGGTTCAACAACATCTCACGTGACCATTCTAGAGAGCTCGGGAAACTTTGAATGTTCCTTTTGGCCTATAACGTTTATTTACAGCTTTCTCAATAGCTATTTGAATTTAGAGACAATAAATAGCATGCTGGGAGAAGTAAGCCCTTGGTATTCTGAAAATGTGGTTAGTATAGGTAGTTTAGGAAACGTGGAACATAACATATAATGTTCTCGCTTTTTTTTTTTCTGATTACTTCTCGGCGCCCTTTATCGCCTGATACCGCAACCTCGTTTGCTGCGGACGATGATACGATGATGGGCGACACAGCACAGAGATACATCGTCGGGGCGACTGGAAAGAGATCCAATCAACTTTGGGCGATGACGTAGCGTCGGTGCTGGTACTACCCACGGGAAGCCGCCAAAAGCTTCGTTGGCTTCTCCGAGTCTGTTTGGATTAATGCGTCTCTGGCCATGTTTCGAAACACCGAGGATGGATTGGAGAGCAAGTTTGCAACCGTCCCATATTCCAGAACGCAGCCGTCACTCATCACGAGAATCCTGCAAGAACAAAGAAAAACGTAAAGAAGCGTATACGTATTGGCGTCTAGAAAGTCAGTTATATTTTAATTAAGAAGCTTTTGCGACATTCTCTGTGAAATGGCTCGTTTTTAGTTTGTGCGAATACCTTAATAAATTTTCCAGCGCGTGATGTTAGGACATTCTTTTTTTTTTATGTCGTGGCAGAAGTAATCTACTGAGAGATGTTGCCAACCAGCCCAATCTCGACATTTCTATTATTCTTTTACCGCGAAGTTTGGCAAAACTTCAATAGTGACAGATGGGCCAGTTGGTACATGACCTCTTTTTACAAAATGCGCCGAGAGACAGGGACAGGGTAAAGGAGGCGACGCGAAGAGCGTCGTCTTCCTTACTCTGTCTCTGTCTTGCGGCGCATTTTGTCAAAACTAACAAAAGTTCGCCTGAAGTTCGATTATTATGCGAGTGGGCAGAAATAAAGAAGCTGACGCCACCTAGCAGGGAATAGATTGAATGTTTATAGGGTGCACTGCTTTGAATTCACAAGCTAACTAAATTACTAAATTTCACGTAATTAGTTTTATGACTTTTCATATGTAAAACGAACAAATCAATAAAAATATTTTCCCGGATATTTCAATTTTTTTTGTGTATAAGTCAAGCAACATTGTTTAAAAGTCGAATTAGTTCGGAGTTGAATTAGTTCGGAGTTTAACTATAGGGGGTATTCACTGGGCGCCATATTTGAGGTAACTGCTCACAGCGCATGCCCGGGAAGAGTTTCCCGTCAGCTCTAGGGCAACCGCTCGAGAAGAGGGGAAGGAAAAATTTTCTTATCACCGGGACTCTCTTTTTTGTTGGTCCCAGGCTTCCCCCAAACGTCGCTATTCTCCCTCCAGAAGATTATAGCAGATTAACTTGCCACTAAAAATTTGTACAAAAGCATCTTTCCCCTCTCTCTCTTCCCCGGTGGTAAGAAAGCAGCAGCGAGCTCAGCTATGACCGCCAGTGAATACTCCCTATACTCCGTGTCACTAGTTGCCTGCAGTACAGGCGAGGGCAACGCCAGCTGAGGGGAGAAAGGGCAAGCATCAGGAAGGCTGGAGAGGAGGAAAGAAACCTGTTTAACGTTCCCAGGGCTCTCATTCTCCCCTTGCATTCCGTTGTCCTCCTCTCCGGTCCCGCACTCCTAGTGCTCACCCTTTCTCTCTTCTCCTGGCGTTGCCTTCGGCTGCACTGCACACAACTAGTGAGACGGAGTATAGTTCAAAGTTGATCTAGTTCGGAGTCAAACTTGTTCTGAGTCAAACTTGTTCTTAGTCAAACTTGTCCGGAGTTGTTCGAGTCGAACTTGTTCGGAGTCGAACCTGCTCGGAGTCGAACCTGTGGATCGCATATGTTTTATATCCGATCCACAGGTTTGGATATAAAAGGCATGCGAAATTAAGTGTATTTGGTGTTTCCTTTGTAGATTTCGTTCTAGCGTGCATGAAATAGTTTCCATAGATTTAGAAAGCGCTAGGATAGGAATTTAGGCTCGTTTAGGCCGCCAGGAGGCCGCTAGCAAGTTAGGCTAGAATACGGCTTTGTTGTAATATTTGGCGGGAACAGTTTAAGGTAGATAGGCTCGATGTCTGGGCGCAGGATACCTCAAAAAGGGTGTGATCACCTAGTGTTAGTGTGGTGAATGCATGCGGTGGGTGCATCTAGATGAGACAGATTTTGATAGCTTAGCGGAGGTGGAGGAGGGTAGCTTGGTTTGGTCGAATCTGCGAGAGAGTTGTGGAGGGATTTAAATTGTGCGCAGCTAGGGTTAAGGAGTTCAAGCGGGAGCTTAAATTAGAGCGAGAGAAGCGGGTGGTCCTGGAGACTCAGGTCGAGGTGTCAGCTAAGAGGGAAAAACTAAACTTAGAAATTCAGAAGCTCATCAGGGAATGGGAAAGAAAGATGGAGCGCATGGTAGGCGTGCTTAGTGAGGAGCGGTAGTAGCGGGTGGAGCTTGAGAGACAAGAGGAGGAGCTCAAAAAGGGGGTAGTGTGGAAAGCTGAGATGGGGTAGCGTAAGAGGGAGTGCGAGGCTGGGTTGGAGCAGCTGAGGAGGGAGGCCACAGCGAACGTAGCGGGAAGGGCAGTCTCAGGGGAAGGAAGCGCTAGTGGACAGGTGGAAGTCAACGGGACGGTAGCGGCTCCTCAACCCTAGAGTGCCGTAGTGGCGCAGGTTACTAGCGGGGTAGTAAAGGACGCGGTGGAAAACCCAGAGACACAAAGTGAGGTAGCGCAAATAGCTGAAGGGAGTCAGCCGCAGAACAGGGAAGGAGGGAAAGGGAGTGAAGGCAGGCAGCCGGAGGCTAAGAGAGTATTGGTGGTAGGAGACTCGAACGTAACAAGGGTTAAAGGGTGCCTACTGGCCAGGTTGAAAGGGGACGGGAGGGTAAACGTAGCGGCCCAGTCAGGGAAGTGCATCGTCGACGCTATTGCGAGAGCGAAGGAAGAGCTCTGGGGTGAAATGGGGGAAGATAACCTAGTAGTAGTGCATGCGGGACTCAATGATGTGTTGACGGGAAGGAGCCAGAACCTCCGCAGACACGAAGAGGCTGGTTTGCGTAAGCTGAGGGAGGTCTCCGAGAGTGTGCAGATGCCCAATATGCACTACCCAAAGGTCTGGGGAGTCTTTTTAGACAGGACAGCGGGTGGTGCAAGCTAACCGGGTGATTAGGGCGATGAGCCAACGGCTTCAGTGCGGCGTATTGGAAGTAAACAGGGTGGTGTATGAGGCTCACTCCGACCCATTTGCATAGGGCATTCACTACAGTGGAGTCACAGGTAGTACGATAGGAGATCGGATTAAGCGTTATGCATTAGATTTTTTTTAGGGTACCAACGGAGCCCGGAGGGCACTGGTGTAGATGTACCGGTACCATATGTACCCGTACCACAATCGGGGGAAGCTCCTGAGTGTGAGTTCCACAAGAGCAGCAGGGAGAGCAGGAGGAAGCCCCGTAGAAAGAAGAGAAAGACTCGGCTCAATATAGGCTTCATAAGTATGCAGGGATGTGGGAACAAAATTAAGCGAGAGGAGGAACAAAATGAACAATTAGAAGCTGAAAATTTCACAGCGTATGGGGTAGCGGAAACTCACCTTAGAGATAAAGAGGAACTACCTTACATGCCAGGCTACTCCTTGATTAAATGAAACCGGAGTATGGGTGTACGCAAAGGCAAAGGTCTAGGCATGTTAGTTAAAGGACAGGACTGTTAAAGAGAGAAGGAAAGCTGCTGAGAACACTTATGGCTGAAAGGTAGGGTAACAGGTCTCAAAACTCTTCTGGGGTTTGCTTACCTGAAAACAGGAAATGGCTCAAAGGAGAAAAATACTCAACACTTTACATGTATATCGAGGGACAACAGAGAAATTGGCCTTAATCAGGAAATAATTATCATGAGACATGAATGCCTACTTAGAATAGTTTGGCGGAGTAAAAAATACAACCGAAAAGTTTCTAGAATATTTCTGTGATGCCCTGGACCTAGTGTTAGTTAATGCACAAGTAAAATGCGACGGGAAACTAATGTTGGAGCGAAACAACTCACATTCAACAATAGACTGCTGCCTCATGTCCCACAAGCTAATAGACATACTAGGAAGTAGGGAAATAGATCAGGAAGGGTACAAAACGTTTAGGGAGTGACCACGAAACAATTAAGATTAAATTTGGCGTTTCCGAACCGGAACAGCAAGCACAAGAACGAGCGGGTAATCCGAAACTAAGTGAAGCTTAAATACAAAAAGTACCTTAACGTATTGAGAACATAGTTTCGAAACGAGCAGAAAGAGATTGGACGTATGAGGATTTAATGGGAATCTTTAAAAAATAATTAGAGAAGCATCAAAATAAACAAAGGGGAAAGTAAAAACGAAGACACAAACAAAAAAGCTGGCCGAATAAGGCGGTCAAGGCAACCATATTACGGCGCCAAGAGGCATGTAGGGAGCGTAGGTGGGCAAAGAAAAGGGGAGCCTTGCCAGCTAAAGTACCATCAAAATAGGAAAAACTCCAAGAGGCGGAAAAGGGAGGCATCAGCTTTATACAGGCCAAAATTGGGAGTGCATAAGTGCAGTGGATAATGAAAATAAATTATAAAAATAAGAATGCGGCAAAAAAGTTTTGGGAGCATATTAAAGCGCAGGAAAGACAGAGGATTTCAAGCACATATTGACTATACAGGAGGGGAGAAGAGAAAGGGGAAGGGGCAGGGGAATATATTAGGCCGACAATCGAAGAGGCTTTTGCACAGCTTGAACAGAGGGTGACAGTGGATAGCACTGACAGCAGCAGTGTAGAGGAAGAGCAGAATAGTATAACAATAAAGACGACCACAAGAGGGTAGGATAAGGCAGAAAGTAAGGTTCCAGCAGGTACAGCGACAGGCCCAGACGACATACCCATGGAACTCCTTAAAGGGGCCCTGCAAGGACTTTTTTTTGCTGGTTTTTAATTTGCACCGAACCTGAGTGCACTAAACGTAGTAACTTAAGGAAACTTTTCTTTTCTCAAATTTCGATTTATTTTAAAAGTTGTAGGCAAATATAAATTACGAAAACAAGCAAAAAATAACCTCCTTCATGATGTCGTTGGTCGCTTGAGTGGCCGTGAACTAGAGGAGGGGTAGTGAGCTCATCGAGCGCTCACGGCTGCCGCACTCCGTGTCGATGGCACGAGAGGACGCCACTAAAGCATGTTCTGGATAGGCTGTATGAAGCGTGCGGCCAGGGCGGTTCGGATTGCATTTGCTGCGCGCACTTATTCGGCATCAAACACAGTGCAAAGATCAGTTCAGAACGGGAGCCACTTCGCGCTGCCATACCGCCAAATGGTCAAAGCACAAGTCAACCCTGCTGCCGAAGGCCTTCGGAACGCTCGGAGCAGGTGGGATCCTCGAGACCGTATACGACCGCAGCCCCGCCGCGTACATCCGGCACCTTTCTAGAGTCTCCGCTCGTCGGTGCCTGATCCAGCTACCCCTTTCTAGTATGCGCCGCCTTTTCCACCGTTTGGTGGCGGATATGTCGACGGGTCATTTCTTGTTTCCGTATTTTATAAACTGCATTTGTTTCTTTTCTGATCTAAAATACTGAACAAAATCTACTTTCATACATAATTGAAACGGTTTGCGCCACTTAAATTTTGTATTTCGACTAAAAAGAAGGTTTTAGCGGCTTGACCAGTCGTAAGGCCAGGACCAACGATGTCACATATCGCGCGCTTTTGGCACCGCGGGTTGCCACCGTAGGTGGAGGAGCTTTGCGCGTCGTCCGGTTAAAATATGACGTACTGATATTTAGTTGCGCACTTCGTGCCCGCTCGCTTGCCCGAACCCCAAGAGATGTGGAAACCGCAAAAAAGGTAGATGCTTAAATAGGATTGCAGGGTCCCTTTAAGACAATAGGAAAAGCAAGCACATTCAAGTTATGGCATGTGTTAAATAAAAACAAATTAAGGTAGGAGAAATACCCAATGATTGGAAACTAAGTAAAATGAGGCTATCAAGGCAAAGGGAACCACAGTCTACATTATGGCATATCGCCCAATAGCGGTAACTTCAGTTATAAACAGATTAGCTATGCAGGTAGTAAAGCGGAAAATAGGGTAATGTGCAGAATATATGTAAATACTGGGTGAACTCCAAAACAGATTCCGAAGAGATAGAAGACTGGAAAAAAAACTTATCCGTCGCCACACAATGTATGGAAATTGCAGTGGAGAACCGAACTTCTCTATGGTAAGATTTTTTTAGACATTAAGGGAGCTCACGATAATGTGAGCCAGTGAATACTCTGGGTCGGCTGAAGGAGTATAACTTAGATGCACATGTGGTTCGGTTTATTCAGCAGTTACACAGACAATAAGGTAGCTATAACTTGGGATGCAGAAACTACACAACCCGCAGCAATAAAAAGGGGGCTCAGGCAGGATAGTCCACTGTTACCTCTGATCTTCGTACTATATTTCAATGAAATGGAAAATAAATAAGAGTAGAGTAAATAAGGTTTTTGATATGAATTATATGGAAGAAGGAAGAAATGTAGTACAGGTAATATCAGGACTGATGTATCCGGACGACATAGTACTTACGGCAGTTAACCAGGATACGTTACAGGAACTAGCTGAAATATGTGGAGAGGAAGGGGACACCTTGGGCATGAGTTTTAGTAGTGATATGTTTGGAGTATTTGGGTTTAACGACGAAAAGAGGGAAGCCCTGAGGATACAGGACATTGTAATAGACCAGGTAGGAAAATTCAAATATCTGGGAGTCTAGCTCAGTGAGGGAAAGAAATATCTAGAGGAACAAGAAGAGAATATAATTATAAACAGGAAAGGAAATTCATCTATTTAGAAGCTCAAGGCCCTCCGAAGCTATAATCTATCAGAGATATGAAGCGGTCAGAGGTGTACGGAAAGGAGTAATGGTACCAGGACTGTTCTTTGGCAGTGAGGTACCGTGCATAAAATCAGAGGTCCAATAAGGATTAGAAATTCGTCGAAGAAGCGTAAACGGATTGGCACTGGGAGCACACGGAAAGACACCAAATGAGGGAGTACAGGTGGACTAGGGCTGGTCGTCTTTTGAGAGCAGAGAAGCAGTTTGTAAATTGAAATTCGAACAAAGGTTGACCGAAATGGATTATAGGCGGTGGGCACAGAAGAAACTCAAGTATTTATACATGAAAAGTTTTAACAGAAAATGTACAAACCAAACCCGAAAGCTTAAATTTAAATACCTACACACTAGCGGCGGGGCTGAGCAGAATACTTCAGTGGAAATTGGAGTGAAAGAGGCAGAAAGGAAAATCTGGGACGTAAAAATGGAGGAAAAAAAGCTCTAACAATGTACAACACACAAAAACAGGACGTAATAAAGACAAATGTATTCGACAACTCTCTGGGAGGTCCTTTGCTGTTTGAGGCGAGAACGGGAGTATTAAGGACGAGGACGTACAGGGCTGAATTTCAGTAGACAGACACATTATGTGCTGCCTGCCATAATGAGAATGAGACACTACAGCACTTTGTTTTGCATTGCACGGGTCTTCGCCTTGCCCTTTCTGAAGGGGTAACAGATTTTGCCAGGACCTTGGGTTCGCTGGCAGAGATGAAATGACGTAAAAGAAAAGGATTACCGTATTAACGAGGCGATTCAAAGATTGGTGGAAATTATCTAGGAAAAACTGAATGATGCACAACTAACTAGCAGAGCTGGGGACATGAGGGACAGAGGAAAATTGGGACTCCTTACAGCGTGGCTCCGGCCTAAAGCCTCAACCCTGTCCCCCAGTGGGTCCGGTTCTGTGGTCCGCCGAAAAGGTTTGACCAGAGGAAAATTCGCGACTTCCTCGCCGGGGGAAATACTCGGGGGGGAAATAGGGGATGGGGGGGAGATGTTTTTTAGCTTCTTTTTTTTTTTTTTTGTCCAATCCCCCGAAGGTTATTTTGGTGATATCCTACACTGCCTGGTGATAATTAGGGGGAGAAAATTGGCTTAGAAGGGCAGGAGGAGTAGTATGTTTGTCTATTTAGACTTAGGCTAGGCGGCGTAAGCTACCGCCCGTTACAAAGGCCAGGAACATCCATCCATAGTTCGGCGAACTTCTCAAATGTCAATACTCACCTTAATTTAAATATGCCTCTTGCTTCTTGAGTCAACATCTTTCGCATGCATCGTGAAAACAATTTTCGCTACTAAAGTGATTCGTAAAAATTTCGTGGAGTAGTGACTTCGAAACTTTATAGACATGTGTTGCAACCTCAGAAGTAGCAAAGTGGCGGTTCTACAGAACCTTTCCGTCCATCTACTCCACCAAATCGTCTGTGACCAGAGACAGCCTGCTGCACCGCAATGGATTGTAGGTTCTTGTTCGTCCTTTTCACCAGTGTAACTTCCGAGCCGGGTTGGGAGCAACCCAAGACAACCCATTGGTGGCGCGGACGTGATAAGCAACATCCGTCGACGCCACGCTAGTTCGGTGACCCAGACGCAAGACGCTACGGTGGTGACCCGTACGGAATATGATGAGCTTGATGGCTGAAGAGGGCTTTCTTTGAGAAGAAAAGTATTCTTTCGAACGGGTCACCAATGTAGCGAGGCGACGGATGTTGCTTATCACGTCCGATCACCAATGTCGCTCTTTGGGTTGCTCCCGACCCGACTCGGAAGTTACATTGGTGGTCCGGACGAACAAGAACCTACAGTGTTGACCCGGACGTGATAACCAACATCCGTCGCCAAGCTACGTTGGTGACCCGGACGCAAAACGCTACAGGATAAAGAATGCTCTCTCCTCTTTCACTACGGATTTGAACCCGTGTTCATTACTTGTTTTGTTGTGGTTAGCCCATAAACGTTGGAAAATTGTTCAGGACGATTTGTGGTCTCTATGGAGCTGACATTGCTCACATCCCAATTCTTTTTTTTTTATTGGAGACCGGGTTTTTGAGTCGGCGGACAGTTCTATTCACTTCAACTGAAATGATGCGAGGCGCAAACTGCAGCAATCAGGTCACTCTCAAAATGGCGTCAGTGTGTGACCAATAGAAAAAGAAAGCGGAACCGCGTACGCGCAACTTGGAAGTGAATACTCTCGCAGGACTTATGCAAGGAGGGTTCTAACCATTTCGATGCACATCATAGTTTAACTCGAGTGACAACAGAAACAGTTATTATGCTTTCGGTAAGAGCATCTGCTCATAGATACACTCAAGCGATAGGTGAAAGATATGTCATTGTATAACGAAAAATTGGGCTTTATATTTCGAAATTGCAGAATAACTTTTAGCTATAGTTAACTTTAATAGCTATATTAAAAAAAATTTTCTCAACAATCTAATGATGGTGGGCGTATTTAGCGCGAAACATACTGTAAACAATAAACACAATGAACGTCGCTGGTTCCAGAAAAGAAGCTACTAATATAAAGCTATTTTCACGCACTCGAATTTTAACTTAAATGGCATGGATAACAGGAGTTGCGTGTACGTACTTTTGGGCACACGTACCTTCAATGAAAAGAGACTGACTGGACGCTTAGCCTGTAGCCAGGAAACAGTACAGCGCGTGTGCACACGGGAAATACAAGGACAGTTTATGAAACGCCTCAGATGATCAAGCTACAGCCGGTTCCAAACCGAAAACTCTAATTTTTCGTTTGCAACAACTGTGAATGTTTCTACTGACATGAATTCCCACGAGAGGTTTCCGAGACTGAAACATTTTATATGCATATAACCTTTGTCTGGAGAAAGCGCCCTGCTATATCGAAGTCATTTACATTCTTTTTTTCTTCGGCATCTAGCTGGGTGATAGTAACATTGGCAATTTATAATATACTATATCGCACCACAGTATGGATGTTACAGCCGAGCTAGCGCCATTCAAGTTTGTTTTCTTCAATTACCTCTAGCTAGCTCTTACGATAGACTGTGCTTGTCCACTTACTTGTCGTGATCGAGCACGGTGTGTAACCGGTGCGCTATGGTGATCTGCGTGCACTGGCCGAATGCCTCCCGAAGCGTAGCCTGGATCAGCTGATCTGTGTCACCGTCCATCTGTGACGTGGCCTCGTCCAGGACAAGCAGCCTGGGCTTCCGCAGCAGAGCCCGGACGAGGCATACCAGCTGACGTTGACCCACACTGCCATGAGATTATACGGGCGCTGTTCATTTCGTAAACATGTTAGCACTGTCTATTGCTCGAATGCTGTGCTAAGGTCAATTGAAAGAGAAAGTGCTTAAGATGTAAGGTTTATGTCTAAAATGTATCTATAGTATGAGGTCTACGCCTAAAGTGAATATAGGGTATAATGTCTGTCTAAAGTGCATCTAAAGTGTATCTAAGGTGTAAGGTCTATATCTAAGTTCTTTGATTTACACCTAAGGTGCATATTCTCTGTAAGGTCCATTTCTAAGGTGCATCTAAGGTGTATCTAAGGTACCATGTCTACCTAAAGTCTATACTTTAAAGGGTATAAGGACTATGTCTAAGGTGCATCTAAGGTGTATCCTAGGTGTAAGGTTTACGTCTACGTTGTATCTAAGGTGCAAGGTCTCTTCCTAATGAGTATCTAAGATGTAAAATCTTTGTCTAAGTGGTATCTAAGAAGGTCTATGTCTAATACCCCTGTCAGACGGATTCGTTTAGTGCACTTCCAGCGAGTGCACTTCAACCCGTCGGAACGCACTCCAAGTGTGCTGTTGCTACACGGGAAAACTTAGTGTCTCTTCAAAATGATAGCAATGATGATGGGTAAAGTAGTTGGCACGCAAAATATTCAAGTGCGTACGCATGTTTTCATAAATAACTACGTCGTCTTATTAAAACACGTCATCACACATCGTAGCGCTCAGTCACGAGCTTAATTCAAATTTAAATCCAATTTGATGACCACGATCAGCCATTACAAGCCAGGCAAATCCAAAATCTAGACATCCAGACCGAAATGGGCAGGGGTGGAGATTGAGCCCAGGACCCCTGGGTTCCGCAGCGCGAGCATTCACTCCGCGTGCTTCGAGCTAATGTGCGCGAGCCCACTTGGCCATGCACTCGCCACAACGAAGCATCATGGAGTGTGTGGAGGACGAGCTGGAGAGCGACAACCGCAATGTTGAACGGTGGAAGCGCGTGCTGGGCACACGTTTCTCCGTGAGAGTCCAACGCCTTTCAAATAAGAGGCAGCTGGAGCTGGATGCCGACGCACGGGCAAGAATTTCGAGTGACATCGATCAGCAGCTGCAGGCTAATCCCTTCACCATAGCCACTCCTATGACCGACAGCCTACCCGTGACCAGTTGAGAACGGTGGAATTTCCAGAGGAACGAACGGTGGTCCGAAGACACCTTGCCCCATTTGGGCGAGTTCCATTTCAAGCGAGCTTTTCCCGTCTCTCCTGCCACCTTCAGATTGCTGGTGGAGTCTTGCAGGTGCCTCCTGGGGCCCTATGCAGCGCTTTTTGGACTCCCACGGCGACTAGGGAGTAGGAAGTGACGTCAACGATACAACAAATGCAGATTGGATGTTGACAGAAAAAAACAAAATCAACACTTAATCTGCGCTTGCTGCGTTGTTGACGTCACTTCCTTATCCCTAGTCGCCGTGGAAGTCCAGAAAGCGCAACATAGGCCCCTCGCCGTCGCTGGCCATTGCGAAGGGGCCAAAGCTGGAAACTAGATTAACCGCTTGCTTTTCTACAATACACTACTTCCTTGCCATCACAAAACAAGTGCGCATCTAATATTACTCCTATTGAAATAATAATTTTACGCAGCGTTAATTTTTTTTTTATTATTTTTACTCCTTGAACACTGCTATCGAGATTACACACTCTGTCCACCGGATCGAGCGTAGTGTGCTCCCCGAACTCACTACATCGGAAGTGTGTACTTCGGGCGGGGCTGAGGATTGAGCTCAGGATCACTGGGTTCTGTGGCGCGAGTTTTATCTGGTGTGCGCCAGCCCACTCGGCCACCAAGATCCCTTAATAAAGACACGTTAAAAAATTAGATGTTTCCAATTTTCTGTAATACCGAATTGGAGCGCAGCTCTTGAGGAGGAGGAGGGAAGGGTACGAAGGGGAGGGTATGGAGCTGCGCCCCCTTTGTACCCTTCAATCCTACTCTCCTGCTCCTCTTCCATTAAGTGGAAAAGTTTCGCTACATTTCCCGCTAAATTTAGCGGGGAAATTTTTACGTTAAATTGATGTGTCGTCACATGACACGTTACGTGAAATTTCACGTGTGACGTCACGTGACGTCCTGGGGGAAAATTTTTCCCGCTAAATTTAGCGAAAACTTTTCCCGCCAAATTCATGGGGAAATTTTTATCCTCGTGACGTCACACGTGACGACAGACATGACGTCACATTTGACGTCTTTTTGGGAAACATCTCTTAATGCAACGCGCGGTTACGCCGACGCCGACGCCGCTCAACCCGGACACGGGTGCCTAGGAGCGGCGTTCTAAAACAACGCTACATTATTGAACGATTTTTACGTCAATTGGATCAATCTGATCGATCATCACAAGCCAAGATAAAAAAGAAGCATATTCAACTTTGGCGTTCCGCTCCGTCCCACGGAAATCTATAGATTTCCGTGGGAGGCCTTGACACTGCCTAATTAGATCGTGAGGAGGCCCTGACACTGCTTAATTAGATCATAATTATAGTCTTGTCTCGAATAGTTACATGCTGAAACTGAGGTATGCTCTATCCCTTTCTGCTAACCAAGATAGCTTTGGAATGACTGACTTTGTCGTCGTCTTTTATCAATTCACCACGGCGCTAATCTTGGTACAGATCAGCCTAAACTCCGAGTCCACCCTACTATTTATTTTGCGGTGCCACTACTCTCTGTCCCCTCTTCCACGAATTTCTTCTTCTTTATAAAATAAAATTTACGCCACGTTTTTGGTTTTGGTGTTGTTATGTTTTACTGTTGAAACACTGCTTTCGATGCCACGCACTCGATCAAGTGAGGTGAGTTTGTCAAACTCACTCGATGCCCAGTGTGTTCCTCAGGAAGAATCCGTGTGGCACACTACAAAAAATGACACTACAGGCGAAGTGCACTTGGTTGAAGTGCACTAACCGCCGAATTCATAGATGTCACTCCGAGTCATGCCAAGTGAAGGGCGACCCTTCACTTACAGAAGGGCGGTTGAAGGGGCACTTCCACTTGAAGTGAGGTTTACCATTCTGAAATGGCACTTCGCTTTCACTCGAGCAAGTGAAGGGAGCCCTTCTACGGGATGCGTCCGGGAGCGAGAGTAGAAAAGAAATTTATATTTATACTTTGCGTAAGACCACAAAAGTAAGTTAATTCTTAGTGTGTTTACATAATTTGTGTTTATAAAGAAATATTAGCACATAACAAACATGTTGCGATTTCAGAAACGAACGTAGCTCGTGCATCTTCTTTCAAACTAAATTGGCCAGCAATATAGCCATCAATATCCATGCTGAATACATTCCAAGTCCTTCCGATATCCTTGTTCCAACGCCACCACCGCCGTTGCCTTTTCGTGTTTACTTGCCCTGCTGGTTTGTTTTTTTTAAGTTTTCATTTCCGTAGCGTGTAATGGATAAGGCCAAGGCACCCGCTGCGCGGTTCACAGAGATCGAAAAGGCAATACTGATGGAACTTGTAATGACGTACAAAAAAATCATCGAATGTAAAAAGACCGACGAATCGTCGTTAAACAAAAAAAAAGGCAACTTGGATTCGACTCTGCAACGAGTATAACTGCAACCACGGTGTATATCGACGGGACGTGAAACAGCTAAAAAAATGGTGGGAAAATGTGAAGGCCAAAGCGAAGAAGGACCATTCCAAAGAAAAAAACAAGGTCCACAAAACAGGCAAGTCTCTCGTTCAGGTTTCTCATCGCGCTGAAAGTGCCTCGGAATGAGCGATGGGTCACATTTGTAGCCCGAACTGTCGGTCACAAATTCGCCCTTGTTTCGAACTGTTGTTTCTGGAATACCTGTCATGGGGGATGGAGCGTGAACGTGCGCAGACAAGTCGGTTATGCAACCTAATGCTGTCAGTTGAATACCGTAGTAACCTGACAATGGAGCAGCATGAACGGAACCGCAGCACGATATAATACTACCGTTAAATCAGTAATTCTACTTGCAGTTTTTGCGGCGGACATGTACAGTAGATCACAACTGACAACACCCAGATGCTCAATATTTCATTTCATTACGCATGGGGCAGAGGGGATGAACATTCCCTATCAGCAAATGCATGCCTATAAATTGGGGTATATTTAAAAAGGAAAACAGATCTTAGATAACATTAGAACTTGGAGTGCCTAGATTGACTACTGTTTGCTCCTTTAGGAGGGGGGCTACCTGGCAAGCCAATGAGCGCCACCTCCGTGCTGGTTGGGGCGGTGGCCTCACACGTGTTCAACAGACAGGAAAATATGGAGGACAGCGATGGGGCACCCTATCTGCCCCCGGTCTGCAGCCTCCCAGTTCTCCGACTACTGCAGCCGATGCTGGACGGCGAGGAGGACCCTCTTGATGCCGACTTGGGTAGAATGCTTGAACCGTTTCCATGTCTTGACCTGTACTTTCTAAACTGGTACCTTTTCGTCTTTACCCACTGATCTTCTCATGGATATGCATGGATACGGTTATAGATCATAATGAGTCTGCCTTCAGAAATGTTTCACCTGGTGTTCCTCAGTAGTACATACTGGCACCCCTACGTTTTTTAATAATCATGAATGACCTTGCAGCAACCATCTCATCTAATATTAATCTTGTTGAAGATGACTGTGTCGTCAATAACAAAGTAAAAAGTGTGCATGACAACATTCAATTTCAAGATAATTTAGTAAAAATGAACAAATGGTGCGAACAGCATGTACATTACTTATGTACAAGGTAACATATATCATTGCAGGGCTGGGTTCCATACAGCTTCAAAACAGTACATGGCAACTACTGCAGACTAACAATGACATACTCCCCTGACAAAGAAACAAACAGCGCAGGGTATTAAAATAATCATAGCATGATTTCTGCCAAGAAATATCTATACCAAGCACTCCAAAAGGTGGAAACGGTTAAGTGATCTAGTGGCCTAGTTTATGGCACAGGTTCAAAATGGATGAAAACATTGTTACACATTAGATCAGCAGCAGAAAAAAAAATCAAATACTTCAAATTGCAACTGCATGAAAAACAAAAATACAATCTCAAACTTATAAAAACCCTTTCTACTCTTCATGTATGTCCCATTGTTCACTTCATAACTTCTACGTGTTCTTTCAATTGCAGAGGAGCCCGGTTCACCAGCTGGGCCTGCCTCAGACGTCGGTGCACCACTGTCACCAGCGGCTGCCTGCATCGCTGATAGACCTGCAGCAGCCCCAGCAGCTTGCCTGATTAGCCAGACATCTACTGCAGGGTCACCAGCTCCTACACCTGCGGCTGCTGCAGCGTGCAACAGTGGTAGTGCGGCAGCAGCTGTGGGCAGTGGTGCCCGCCAGGTCGGAGGACGTATGGCGCTGCTGGAAAGGAGCCTCGCAGAGGAAAACCATATGAGGATGGCCTTTGTCCAGCAGGAGCATGCCCTGCGCTGCAACTTCCTTGAACAGGACCACCGCGACGCACTCAGCAAGAGAGCTGCGCTGCATGAAATGGAAATTAAATTGCGCGAGGACGAGCTGAAAAAAAGAAATGCCATTCACGAAATGGAGATGAAGCTCCTGTGTATCAAGGAAAACATACTGCTGCAGGAGCTGAGCCAGAAGGCTGCACAATAAATCATGTTCAAACTGCTATGCCTGCTTTACTGATGGTTCACTTTTAAAGTCAAACTGAAGTATCACACACTTGGAAGTACGACTCCTCACCTTCATGGCCTGTGTGATGGGCCTCTTGAGCCTACGTGCAGCTCACGTAAAGCTCAGCAGAATGATGTTCTGCCGGATACGCAGACCCGAAGGAGAGTCCTCCGGGAGAATCGGTGGCAGGTGTGGCTGCCGCCGCCTTCTGGCATTCCGTGCCCTGGGACTTGGTGGCGGGGGTGGAGGAGGAGGTAGGGGCTCATTTCTTGCACGTCCCAGATTATGCAAAGCCGCACACGCGGTGATGATGCTGCATGAGTGGCGAGTCTTGTGCTGGAGCCGCATATCCAAACAGGGAAATCGTCTCTTCCAGACCCCAAAGGCCCTCTCGACGGAGTTCCTCGTTCGGATCTGGGCCTTGTTGTACCTAAATCAAATTGTAAGGCATGTGATCGATTTTTAGGCATCTGGGAACATACTTGCAATCACTGTATTTTCTTTTTCAGTATGGAAATAACAGGTTGACATTCTTTTGTCGAGGTTAGATATGTTTTATTGACAACTTTTCGTGCACGCACGGCTTCATGATACTGTTGACATCTCATGGAAACTTTTTCGTTCTTGCGACATTTCGTCGACAAACGTTTTCTTCTGCTAGGTGGATTGAATTTAGTGGTCGCGGTCGTCAAATCTTATGATTTTTTTTTCATTTGCCTAATGCTGAAAAAGAAAAATTAGACTGAATTTACTTTTTAGTGAATGAACCACCGACGGCGGGGCAAGCTATGTCTTAAACAGACCACACGATCACACCTCGCTTTGCTCCGCTCTGCTAGGGGAAATGGTTCATTAGCGATGTGCGCGACCAAAAGCGCCGCTGCGGTCAGCTTTCGACGATTGGCCAAACCGTGGGCATATGAGCATTGTCAGATTGTCAGCTTTGACGGTGTTACTTTCGGATTGCAATGACTCCTAGCTTCCACTGTGCTTTTTAAACACACCACCGAAGTCGTCGTCGCACCTGATGGTAAGTAGACAGGATAACAACTGGTGACGTCACGTCGAGGCAAATCCCACTCGTGACGTCACGGATGGAAACCATAACAGGGCGCCATTGAAACATCTCGGTGCTAAAATAATCTCAAGTTCGAGCTTGCACCAAGCCTTGTCGAAACCGCCAAGGGTTCGGCAAGGTAGGAAAGAACATTGGATATCGGCGAAGTGATCTGTCCATGAAACGCTTGAAGAACTGTTTGTCACCGGCAATGACTGCCTGCTATTACAGACATTAGTGATGTTGTCAGTGCAGTACCAAAACAAATCTTATACTTCTGCCGATGATTTGGCTTACCTCCCTCCGGGACTATTTGCCGCTCCAGGGTTTGCGAGCGGCGTCATCAGGAAAGGGAGACAGGCATAGCCCATATCCCCCAGCAGGACGCCGGGCACTCTGCTCTCCTCGTAAAGGGCACGCGCACGACTGCCATCAAAGATGCGGCTGTCGTGCACAGATCCTGGCCAACTTGCCACAACATCAAAGAACTGTAGCTGTGGGCCGGTGATGGCCTGCAGGTATATAACATTGCATTAATACGGCAATTTGGGCCAGTTGGCTCATGCTCGAAAACAAGTGAAACAACTGCCCCCCCCCCCCCCCCCCCCCCCGGGGCTGGCTACGTGCCTGTTGCCCGTAAATAACGTCGCATATGCAAGCTAGGTATAGGCTGTGCAATGGCTATTTCGAGCGGGCCCAGAGGTGTACAATAAGCAGCAACAACACAGCTGATGAAAGGGTTTCCCTATGTTTTACAATGATCGGGTTGAACAGCTGAAATCGTTTTGCGTGAGCATTACCCATGCTTCCCAGCCTGGCAGTTTAGTAGGCAAGCTACGTCAATAAAGGGGGTATAAGAAATATGAGCTCACCTGGACGTTCAGGGAGAAGACTCCTTTCCTATTGCGATAAACTTCCGCATCATCTCCGCCGGGGCTTCTGATGCGCACGTGGGTGCAGTCGATGCAACCCGTGACGCCAGGAAACTGCCCCATTGCGTAGAAGTCGCGCATAACGCCGTGGTACTCCGACGCAGCCGGGAAGTGCACCAGCCTTCGGAAGAGCACCCTCGCGATGAGCGTCGTCACCGTCCTCACTGTGCGGCAGACAGTCGGCTGGGAGACATGCACCAGGTCTCCCGCTACCATCTGGAAGGTCCCGGCGCCGTAAAAGCGAAGGGTGACCAGCAACTGGAGCAGGGGGGTGAGCGGCAGTCCTCGGTTGTCGCCGGTTTGCTGGAGAGGCAGCAGCGTCAGGAGTTCCCTCACCGTCGTCTTCGTAAAGCGATATCTCGCGAGGAACTGGCGGTCACTGTACAGCTCCATCGGGTTCAGGCGGTCCGATAGATTACGCCGCGGCACCGACGGACCGAGCGGGTACATAACGCCGAACACAAGGTCGCACGCACGAGTAGCGAACTCAAAAGACGCGATCCTGCGAGCGGCATCACTCCGATAACCCGGGTAACCCGCCATCTTTTGCGATGAAGGGAGGCTCGAGTGTAGTTGAAGGGCGGTGCCACCGCTCACTTGAATTTTTTCGAGAAAAGTCCGAGTGAAGCGCGAGGCGAGGGAGCGTTTCGAGTGAAGGGGGATTTATGAAACGTAATGACACCCACTCAAGGGCGTTGGAAGTTAAGTTCGAGTGAAGTGGGATCTATGAATTCGGCGGTAAATTAGCCCGTCTGACAGGAATGAAAGTTCCATTTATACTTCGTTTCATACTTAGTGCACAACGCTGCCAAAGCTGCTAGTGCGAGCACGGGGTCTGATCTGGCAGACCATTTGCACGCGTTCTCGCGGAAACAAAACCATACATGAAGCCACGCGTTCGCGCCAGTAGCTTTGATAGAGTGGTATAGTAAGTATGAAACGGAGTATAAGGTGCCATGTCTATTTCTCAGACTATGTCTGAAGCGAAATGAAAGATAGCTGACTGTTGAGCCATGGTGTGTTCGTCATCTGGACGCTGTGCAGGCGTGGCAACAGGTATTGGATACAACGCTTTTCAATATGGGTTTGTCTCCAGCTTCATTCTGGTGAACATCTGAGCCAACGCATTCAAGACATGCCGGAAACATTTGCATGGCAGTTCATTCGATCGCCGATAATACATTTGTGAACCTAGTGAGTGTTTACCCTCGGAAGTTGTTTCTGGTGAGCAATGGCAGCCGAACATTGTACCAAGGTTGGCCACGTCATTGTTTTAATATAAAAAAACTTATCACATCATAGCTTGTATAAATATATAGTATATTTTTGTTGTCGTCATCGTCGTGGCAGCATGGAACCTTACGAGCTTTGTGAAACGGTGCTTTATGACTTCCCCTCCCATGTTTTATGCCATCAAACATCAGAGAAATCGTTACCTAATTGTTGTGAGGATCATATTTAGCCTGATGTTTTTAGCTCTAACGTTGCGACTCATTTCAGATATTTAATATCAAGCCTCTCTCACTTTCTCTCACCCAGTTTCTCGCTCTTACCTGAAGCTGGAACCCCCATCTCCAGTGTCTAAAAGCAGTTGTTTCGGATCCTTCGCCACGACATCTTTGAGGTGAGCTTGCTCCAGGGCTGCCCAGATCTCCTCGTCCGTGTGGGACCTTGTGGGATCGAGGTTTTCTCGCAGAGTTCCTCGAACCAGTTGTGGATCCTATTTTTTTGGAAGCAAAGGGTTAGTGGACAAATCAGGACCGCTTCGCCGAGAAGAGAAAGCGGGGGTGATGTTTTTAGCTTTTTTGCCCGATACCACAAAGGTACTCCTGGGAACATCCCACAACGGCTGGTGAGAGTGACAAAAAAGCTAAGGGGAAGGAAGATTGGCTCAGAAGGGAGAGGGATGGAATCATATGTTTTTGATATCTTTTGTTTCTAGGCTAGGTGGCATAAGCTAAAACCCGTTATAAAGATAATATCCGTTAGCATTCATTCATTGATTCATCCAAGTAGTAAATTGGTGGAAGTCAAAGCCTTTCTTTTTCTCGCGTGTCAAATTTTACTATATGGGTTCTACCTGTGTTCCCTGAGATGATCAAATAACGATTAATAACAGCCCACCTGGGGGATTATGGTGATGCCCGAGCGAAGTTTCTGCAGAGGAATTCGAGCAATGTCCCGGCCATCAATTCGGATGCAGCCTCGAGAGCTCTTCAAGACGCGGAGAAGAGCCATCACCAGGGAGGATTTTCCAGCCCCCGTCCGACCAACCACGCCTACCTGTGTTGAAAGTTTAGAAAGGCGTAGTATAGGCTGTAAACAATGTTATACCAAATGTTCAATATTTCACGAGTGCGTCGACATGCATGCTTTTGTCATTGTTTCGCGGTAGCGAACTATTTCCCCGGTCGGGAATATTTCCTAATGTTGTCATGCGCCTGTGTGATATATTAAATCAAGAATTCGCGATTCCATGATACTTACGAAATGAACAAAAATTAGGTCGTATTAAAAAAGTCATTTAAGGCAAAAAAAGTTTTTAAAATAAAGGTTAGCTGCAAGCATACACTAAGCGCAAAGATTTATTTTTAAGCGTAAGTTACAAGTGCGAAGACTTATTTTATACAAATGAACCGACAAACTAAAAATCAGGACGATAGATAATTAACGTGTATTTTTGGGGAAAAATGCAACGTGGAACTGCAAACTTTATTTTACACGACCAGTATAAAGCCCTATTAAGTTAGTAACCAGTTGTTTGTCCCGTTTCTCTCAATAAAACTTAAAATAGACCTACAATATTATCTTCGCAAAACACATGGGGAGCTAAAAACTACGTCCGCAGCCAGTGGCTTACAAGGGGGCACATAAGCGCAATACTAGGGAGTTTTAGGGAACCATTTTCGCACACCCGATACGGTAGGGTGGGCCCTCCGGTACGAACTGCGCATGCGCCACCACCGAAGACTCTCATAGGCGCAGTTCGTAGCGGGCAGCACATCGTACCGTTTCGAACGTGCAAAAACGGTTCCCTAAAACTCCCTGCTGCTAACTAAGACACATGATCTGTGACAGCATGCCGACCATATATTGACGAACAATCGATGTACCAGGGCCAACCAAAAACTGAGTACGATACGTCCCCTCGTTTCGCCAAACGCTGTACCTTCACTACCGACCATCAAATTGATCACGCGTGTGCTCTGAAAACGATCAGACGCCAGGCTGCATCATTCACTAGAGTGTACACAAATGCCGCAATGCAATAAAGGCCTGTTCACACATACAGCGGAGCGCGAAGTTAGCGCTACGTGAGCGCTCCAAGGAGCGCTCATGTGGCGCTTCCTGGCGCGTGACGTTGTTCTAACACAGCGCGCGATTAGTGCTTCTGTAGCGCCTTGTTAGCGCTCCAGTAGCGCCTTGTTAGCGCTCCAGTAGCGCCTTGTTAGCGCTTCAGTAGCGGCTTGTTAGCGCTTCAGTAGCGCCGTGTTAGCGCTTCAGTAGCGCTTCTTGTACCGCGGTGCTGCGGATTAGCGCGTGCACTGCGGTTCCGGTTCCTGTTGTTGGGTGTGAATCAGCAGCACCAAAGCGGACATGTGGGATGCTGAAATAGAAATGCGACCAATGCCCTTACATACGCGATTAGTGCATATATGTGTGTAAACGACTTAACGCCCAGAAGAGCCTTCTGGGTGCTCGAAATCTTTCGCCACCGAGATACCAACGGGTTTTTGGTGAACCTTGTTCCTAGGCTGAGGGACCGAGACACACAGCTATTTCGAAGGCGGTTATTTTTAACTGCGTATCTTTGAAACCAGGGTCACGCATATCGAATAGAAAGCGATGAGGTCGTACCCAATTAATTAGTGGCTCAAGGTCCATGACTCTGGGTCGCCTGCCCGACCCTTTGCTTGGAGAGCGGCTGTTTTACTTTTTCTTCTTTCAATGGCAAAGGAAAAACAACAACAAAGGAATAGCCGAGCACGCGCTGTTCCGGAGCAGCAAGCACGGCACAAGGAGCGTGAGAGAGTTAACAAAGCGCTTCTGTAGCGCTAACAGAGCGCTAACAAAGCGCTTCTGTAGCGCTAACGGAGCGCTAACAAAGCGCTTCTGAAGCGCTAACGGAGCGCTACATCACGCGCTAGAAAGCGTCACATGAGCGCTCCTTCGAGCGCTCACGTAGAGCTAACTTAGCGCTTCGCTGTATGTGTGAACCGGCCTTTACAGTGCAATCCACTTATAACCATAATGAGAAAACCCGAAACCTCAATCGTTATAACCGATTATCGTTGTATCTAGGCTAGAAACTGATCGTTTTTAGTTTAGAATCTATAAAAACGGATCGTTATAGACGCTTTCAGGCAGCTGTGCATGGGCGCCGCCATAACCGACCTTCAGTTTTTGTACCCTCTTATTACGTTCGCTCCACTTCATCATTACCACAGTAGGTCAGATCATTGCCATTTTAGATTCTACCGCGTCCTTCTCCCCAGCATAGGCCCTTGTGGAGTCTCGTCAACGCCCGTTTTAGTGGCTCGACATCTCGGTAAGACAAAAGAAGGTCGGCTATGGCGGCTCAATTTGGGGCGCGCTGAAAGCGTCTATAAGCGGTACATCGCTATACGAGGTTTCGTTATAAGTGGATTGCACTGTATATTGATGCGCTCTTAGATGCTCCGCCTCCAACACTCATTCGGGGCCTTTCGCCTGGCTTTTGAATGCGCGTGCGACAAAGTGTTATCATAGACAGAAAGTTCGCGCTCGAGACGGAGCATCTATATATTGGTTGTTAATTGGAGACTGACAAGGTACTTGTGCTCGCCAATTATTATTTTTTTTAAGATGACATATGAGAGCTTAACTATTCAAAACAAAATTCGTGGCTCGAAATTCGTTTTCTTTGTGCACAAAAACCGTCCATCGAGAAATGCCCGGTTTGAGTCGCGCTCACTTTGTACTCCGTGGTGACGTGCCATTCTCTATGTTTTAGACACGCAATCAAAGTCATGGGTCATCGATAGCACGCTGTCAAACCTACAAATATGATACCCATTTTTTGCGGCTTCTAAAAATGTGTAAATACGTTGATTGAAGAAAAAATAACGTTGCACAGAGAACCAGAAGCGCTGTGTGCATTCACTGCGTAAATCTCAACATGCCGTCGAATCGCGGGAGTCGTGGTCTGGACGGGTGAACGAAGCGGACTAAGCGATGGTGGCTGACGGCCAGCGTGAGACCTCCACTTCAGAACGGTTGTTCGCGGTACCGACGAATCTGTCTAGCTTCGAAAGAGAAATCGTTTATCGATCTAAACAATTAGGATTTATTCCGTACGTCACTCCCGACCACCAAGCAGTTTCGCACGAAGACGTTGCCGAGTCGTCGTCCCTTGTTCTGGCTGAATACATATCGCTCGTCTTACAAACACGAATTGGTAAGAGCTTGAAAAATGCGCAAACGTCATGCACAAAGAGCTTGACTTGGTGTTTCTCGTGCCAGGTGCAACTGCTCTTTTTTCGTCTGCTTCACACGGCCGGAAAACGAAGGGAACAAAAATAACGCGGTCGGTTCTAGTCATGTGACTTTCGGCAGCTTTCTGCTCCTCTACAATCCTTCTTCCTCCCGAGTTTAATTTCCGCCTCGGTATCGAGCAGCTACTTTTTTTTAATTAAAAATAAATGTGTCAGATTAGCAAAATATTGACTGCGTAAACTTCTCACTCCACATTAAATCACCAGGCCAACAATTAAAATATATTTGGAGGTGTCGGTGTTTCTTTAACCTGTCTAGCGGGTTAGAAAAAACAAGTTTGGGGGAGATGCATTCCTCATCGCGAATTCCACTGGTCGTTTTGGAGCGAGCCGGGATCAGTAGACTAGATCCGAGATGGAGCACGAGGTCCGAACGGAGTCGCTCCGTCTCCGGATCTCCAAGGAACATGACCACTCGTCCAGGATCGGCAGATGCCTACCCATCATTCACCTTCCCGGAAATCCCCCTCCCGCGGTCCCGGATGTAAAAGCACATGTTTTCGCAATCGCAGCGCTAGCACGTGTTCAACGCACGAGCAAAGTTAATCAGGATGTGAAATATGCGTGTCGATAAGCGATGTGCATCAGCGTAGCCCACTTGCCTTTTCATCGGGATACTCGTGAACGGTGTCCAAGTACGTCTTGATTTTCTTCTGTGGAGGTCCAAAAAGACAGTCAAATTCATGCTGGACATGCAAGCAATCTTCGTCGTCGCAGCTACTAGAGCCGCTGCTGATGGAGGAGCTGCTCGAGCCACTTGACGACGAACTGTCATCAAGCAGCAGCAGCAGCAAAGCGGGTAGCACCGGCGGCACTTCTCGAGCAGCCGTTACAAATTCTTCCGAGGCGAGATCAGCGAGATCGCAAGATGCCCAGCGAGAAAGAAAGTCACGTGTGCGTGCCATGGGCCCGCCAGGCTGGCTTCCGGTCGAATCCGCCGAAATTGGCGACTTTTTCTCGGATCCGGATCGAGATTTGGAGTGGGAGCTGATCCAAAACGACGCGTGGAACTCGACCTTCTCGATCCCGACCGCCCAGTGCAGTTAGATAGACGCGAAATAGATCCAAAACGGCCTGTGGAATTCGACATTAGTTGTGCAGTGATCTAGCTTTCGGTGGAGGCAGACTGTACCTACAAAATAGACTCATGGGTCAAGTATGGCAAACTCACCCTTGGTTATTTTGTATTTCTGGCCTCACCTTTTCAGTAGGGTTCACCGTGAAGGTGATGCCCTTGAGCACGTCGGGCAGAAATCCGGGTTTGTACGACGCCGCGTAGGAGACAAATTCCACCTTGCCTTCCGGTGGCCATTCCGACAGCTTCGAGTGTTCCGGGTCAAGGTCATCATACGCTTCCACTCCGGGTTCCACTTCACTCTGATTAAAAAGAAAAAAGAAGAGCTTGTAGAACGTTCTTTGTCTTGCAGATATATGTGACAACCAAGTCTTTTACAAGGGGAATACAGTTCATTTCTCTTATTTGCATTAGACAGCGCGCCCACAGTGCCAAATCCTCCCCTTGTGGTGTGGAAGTCCCGTGTTTTAACGCATGCACGTCGCGCTATTCCTGCCGCACATGCGCTTCCGTGGGAGAGGGTTATCGCCGGCGCGCACAGACACCAAGTCAAATACTTTACTAGGGAATAACATGTCACTTCCCGAGTATGCATCAGAAAAGTCGACAACAAAGATCTGCGGAAACACGCATGACGGCGGCAGTGGTACCGTCCTGGTACCCGCGACCCCGTCAACCGCACCGCATTCCGAGGTGTCGCCCTTACGTGCTCTGGCGTCGAGAGATAGGGGGTAGGGGAGAAAGGCGTCGACATATAAACCACTCCACCAGAGAAGGATTCAGCGCGGCCGTCGTCCTGTCTATTGCAAATGAGGAGAGTGTCCTGTATTCCCCCAGTAAAGCATTTGACTAAGTTCGCCGAGACAGCAGAGACGGCTGCTGGGGACGTCCATGACGATAGATGGCGCCAGCCACCCCTCCCAATTAAAAATGAAAAACCCCTATGCTGCGGTTCATCCAGCCTTTCGAACTACGCAGAATCTGTCAGTGCCGAGACTATTGTATTGTCGCGGAGTGAGATGGTATCAGTGAAAGCTGTGGAGGGGCACCTATGAGAGAAGGTGTGAGGGACGCTGTGCGAAGTTGGTGTGTATGCGTTAATAGTTCCTAGATAAATGTAGTGCTTCTTTGCAAGTATAGACACTCTTTGAGGCGTCGGCAGCGCTACGCGTTTTAGGAAGCAAATGGTGGCGCACAGCAGCGAAATGAGCTGAAAGACCCCTTTTGTTCCCGTGGAACGTCGCCCGTCATGAGCGATGGAATGGTCGTTACCTTTAAGAGAAAGTTGCAAGGAACTTGAGCATGTTTCACACACTCCAGCTCTGGCGTTTGGCATGGTGCCAGCTGCGGCGTGCTCACGTTAATTTTAACATACGCTTTTGTGTGTAGATAGAAACCCGTATTGCGAACCCGAGATCGTATTCTACGTTAAAACGCCATATGTATCGTCGCAGTAGTGCAGAGGCATCCGAATGTTTTATTGTATTCATGCACTCTAGAAACAAAATTGAAACTTACCGCCGAATTCAGAAACCTCACTCAAACTACAGTCAAACTGAAGGGCCCCTCCACTTCCTCGAGGAAGGCGCGAGGGCCGGCGCTGACCAATCGCGACGGCGGATCTGTCCTCGCGATTGGCCAGCGCCGGCCATGGCGCCTTCCTCGAGGAAGTGGAGGGGCCCTTCAGTTTGAGTGTAGTTTGAGTGAGGTTTCTGAATTCGGCGGTTAGTACCCTAGAAAAGCGTCTGTTCCGGATCTCTCCTTAGCACATTCGGAAACTAACGAGAGAGCGGGCCCTGATTCTTTTCTTCTCGACAGCTTTCATTCCGGAAGCCTCTATACATACAACCAAAAAAAAAAAAAAAAACGGTAGCGATATTTAATTTCAAAGTTCTATAATGCGGCATGAAAATCAGTTTTTACGGGCGATTGTTTCAAGTGTTTGGAAGTCATTGAACAGTCGTTTCGGGTGTGAAGAACTTATATTTGTATTGATTTTGAGGAAAGGGAATTGGTGTGTCAAATGACGAGGGAGGCAAATAGGAAGGGTGCATGAATGGCACTGTAGGAGGGTGAGATGGGAGGGGAAGGGAGGGGAAGAAAGCCAGATGGGGAGAGAGAGAGGGAACCCTGGAAGGCTGATGAGTGGGATTAGGAGAAGGTGGGAGGGGGAAGGAAGGAGAGAGGAATGGAATGAGGGAACCGGTGTCACGTGATCTCAGACTTTTACGTAGTTCAACTATTCTACTCAAGTTACTTGAGTTACCTTTTTTGGTAACTAGTAGTTCACTTTAATTACTTTTTCCGAGAAACTTGTACTAAAATTACCAATTACTTTTGAATATTAGTGGTAGGCTTGCTTATTAACAGACATTCCTGCAAAAACGAGATAAGATATTGGAAGATCAACTGATATTGCGAAGGGAGGGAAGCATGTGGCGTAGGCGGAGGGGGGGGGGGGGGGGGGGAGTAGTTTAAAAGCTTCAAAACCCCTTAAAATTTTCGCGTATATTTTCCCACATAGATTTAGCGGGGAAACTTAATGGGTGCTTGGGTTACATGACGTCGATTTCTCCGCTATTCGCGACTCCAATTCACAATAGGTGGCGCCACTCGTTTTTTCAAAATAGCGGGTATAGTGAGGGTCGGAGATGCGTGCCGCCCCTGAGCCTGTCTAGTGTTTTGGATTCACTGAACGACACAAATTATTTTTTTGGTAATACGAAGAAGCTAGGGTGCAATACTCAAATTCTGTAATAAGGTACAATCCCATACCGGCAGCAGTACAACGTGAGAACAGCGAAGAGGGTTATTTGCATTCGGAAAGGACATTTCGCGAGCCATGATCGCGAGCAGTTCCGCCGTGCCCGCTGAGAAGGAGAATCGGGAGACCCAGGTTCTGGGGAGACCCTCACTAATGCGCTTGCCGTTTCCGCCGCAGAAGGGCGAGCAACGAACTGGCGACGCGAATATTTAGCGGGAAAACTGTTTTGGTGTATAGATCACGTGACGTCGATTTCCCCGCTAAATCTAGTGGAGAAACTGATTTCGTGTTTAGGTCACAAGACGTGAATTTTTCCAAGTTTAGCGATGAAACTTAAATAACGCACGTCATGTTAGTTTTCCTACTGTGTATAATTCACGTGACGTTAGGAGGCACGATGTCAATTTTTCCTCTAGATTTTGCACAAAGAGCAGGGACGGACGGACGGACAACATTTTTGAGTGGCAGTTCCGTTAAAAAGCATTTCATGCTTTAAACAAAAAGCTCGTAACTTCACACCCGCCCCAATATCAGAAATGGTAAGTGTAGAGGCACACACCCCTACACGTATACACTCGCCAATGCCGATTACGAAACACTCTATCCACGTCAACCAAACACAAGAGGAAAAGCCGCAGTTGCCACACAGATGATGTAAATTGAACTTTAGAAAAGTGTACATGAATATATGCTCGCGGCTATTGTAAGTTGCGGATACCCGCGGATTTGAAATCTAGATTCGAAACTAATTGTTTCTGGAAACTAATTTTGTATTTAGAAATAAAAACCGTCTAATTAATAAAGATATTAACGTCTAGAGAATAATTCTGCATCCGCAAAACGTATATAAGGAAAATTAATGTTATTTTTCTTAGCTTCCCATAACTCTACGAATGACTTTTCTGTGAGGTTTACTGAACAAACTATTGGCAAAGAAGCTTTTGCTCACTTCTTGGGGAAGTTCGGTGTACTCGACGCAACGCTCGAAGGACACCACAGCTTGAAGGGATGCGAACATTGACGCACACGTGGCAACCATTGTTTGGAGAATCTGAAAAAAAAAAAAAGAGAAACGTAAAACAAAGATATTGAGAGCAGAGTGGTGAAGCAAACACGAATTGCATTATTTTTTTTTCTTTTTACACTGCATACTTTATGTACATTATCTATATAAATTACGTGTGGGCGACTAGCTCGTCGTCGCAATAGGAGCTAACTAAAGTTTTCAAATCGATGTTGATCTAAAAGAACAAAAGCATAATTGCACTTGATGATATTGATGTGATTCTAAGATATAGAGCAGGAGTAATAAAACTATAAATTAAAAAAATGAAAGACATTTCCAATTCTCTGTAATGCCAAATTAGAGCGCAGCTTTTGGGGAGGAGGAGAGGGTGTGCTCCTCCCACTTCTATAGTTTCCCCTCCTCCTATCCTGCTCCTCTCCAATTTAGCGAAAACTTTTCGCTAAATATCCCGCTAAATTTAGCGAAAAGTTATCCTCTAACTTTAGCAAGGAAATATTCCCCGCTAAATTTAGCGAGAAAATCTTCCCGCTAAAGTTAGCGGGAAATTCAGCAAAAACTTTCCCCTAAATTTAGCGGGCGAATTGAATTGGTGTTGAGGTCACGTGACGTCAGTTTCCGCGCTAAATTTAGCGGGAAACCTTTTCCACTAAATTTAGCGGAAAAATTTTCCTCTAAGTTTCACTTGACGTCACATTCAATCATGTTGCGTCGTCATACGTGACGTCACGTGGGACGTCACTAGGGTAAAATTTTCCCGCTAAATTTAGCGGAAGCTTTTTCCCGTTAACTTAAGCGGAAACATTTCTCGCCAAATGTAACGGGAAATTTTACTCTCGTGACGTCACACGTGACATTTTTCATATTGACGTCACACGTGACGTGACTGCGCGTTGCATTATGGGAGATTTCCTATAATGACGTCACACGTGACGTCACGTGTGACGTCATTATATGAAATGTCCCATAATCAGAGGTCGGCATTTTAGGTCGCCCTCACTCACCCTCACCCTCACAGCCACACTCACCTAAGCCCCTCACTCACCCTCACCCTCACAGCTACACTCACCTTCAGCCCCTCACTCACCCTCACCCTCACAGTCACACTCACCTTCAGCCCTTCACTCACCCTCACTGAACCTCACGGCTCTCACGCACTCACCGCCCTCACGGCCCTCACGCCCCTCACTCACTCATGGCCCTCACACCACTCACCGCCCTCACGGCCCTCACCGCCCTCACGGCCCTCACCGCCCTCACCGCCCTCACGGCCCTCACCGCCCTCACCGCCCTCACGGCCCTCACCGCCCTCACGGCCCTCACGCACTCATAGCCCTCATGCCACTCACCGCCCTCACCGCCCTCACGGCCCTCACCGCCCTCACGGCCCTCACGCCACTCACCGCCCTCACGCCACTCACCGCCCTCACGCCACTCACCGCCCTCACGCGCCTCACCGCCCTTGCGGCCCTCACACCCCTCACGCCCCTCACGCACTGATGGCCCTCACGCCACTCAGGCCAGCTTCAGATGGGGCAATTTCGCCCAGAAACTTTACGTCGCGACCCCAGCAACACGGGCCGCCCGCGATCACACGCAGCAACGAATTGCTGCAATTTGCCATCGTCATCGTAAGATTTTATTTTTCTTGCACTATTTAGACACAATTACGCGTTATAAACGTGTTTTTATGGATTTAAATCTCGTTAAGAATACTAATGCACCTTTCTGAAACAGTTTATTTCCAAAAAAATGATCGATTTCAAACCAGAACCAAGTCTTTCGGTGTCATCATCACCGGCACGAGGTATCACGTGAAAATTTTGCGTCCCTGATTGGATGCAGCCGCTTCAAACGCATTCGAATTGCTCCGAGTTGCATGGCCCTCACGGCCCTCACGGCCCTCACCACCCTCACGGCCCTCACGGCCCTCACCGCCGTCACGGCCCTCACGGCCCTCACGGCCCTCACCGCCCTCACGGCCCTCACCGCCCTCACGGCCCTCACCACCCTCACGGCCCTCACGGCCCTCACGGCCCTCACGGCCCTCACCGCCCTCACAGCCCTCACGGCCCTCACGGCCCTCACTCACCCTCACGCTCATGAATTTTCCTGGTTCAGAAACTCACTCACCCTCACCTCACCTGTGAAGATGAGGGTGAGTGAGGGTGAGTGAGGGCCCTCATGAGTGAGGTTTGCCGAGGTATGCCCATAATGCAACGCGCAGTTACGCCGACGGCGACGGCGACGCCGCTTAACCTGGAAACTGGCGTTTAAAGGCCGACCCACAAAGGGAGTATTCTCGACGAATTTACGTGCGTTTCAGCGGACATAATTACGGCATTTGGCGGGTGCTTCTTTTCATAGGATGGAAGAGAGGAAGGTCGCCAAACCACACACGGCGCTTTTCGTCGACGCCTCCTCGGCGTTTGGTGCAATGTAGCCCGACTCGCGCCTTTCATGAGAGAAGGCGAAATGTGGATCTGCTGATATATTATTGCGTTCCGTAGGGGACACAAATAACTAAAGGTTATTCAAAAACAAAAGCCTAATTTGCTAAGTGTTTCTTGCAATCGGCAAATTGCCAACAAGTCTCGGCAGGAGGACGGCCGCGATCTCTGCTCAAAACCTTTCCTTTTATAATTTTTCACGTCGCCCGCAACTTAGATAGTATTTTCTTCTGTCAGTCATTCATCGCTCGTTCCGAAAAGCAATATTGATTTCGTACAGTTCGCGAAAAAAGCCGTCGAACGCACCAAGCGAGCTTCCATTTCGGCGGCTGAGTCAAGCCTGCCAGCCGGCCGGATAGCTAAGCCAGCCGATCCTCGAGCAACTTCCGGCTGTGAACTCGGGAGCTGATTGGTTGGCACCACTCCGTACGCTTCCGGATACGCCACGGGAAAAATACGCCGAAGCGAAGGGATTACATCTGTCGAAATGCCTGTAAATACGTCGCAAATACGCCCTATGCGATTCGGCCTTAAAGCTGCTCTCTAAAAGCAAGCTCGAAAGCATGTTCAAACATATTGGGACAAAACAAAATCAGCCCGACTAAGCCTAGCATTTGTCCCAGTTAGGTACAATTGTGAAATTGCAACGTCCCGTAAGACTTTACATTATCTCATATAAAAAGATGTTTGCTCAGAGACATTGCAAACCGACAGAGGAGAAACAAACCCTCAACCAGTTAACACTGCTTCCTAAGATTCTTATACGTTTCCTATAATAATCACTGTGCCAGACAAAAACCGGGCATGTCCCTTTCTTTTGTGTGTGTACAGTTTGTCCGCCTTTTCTCTACCGCATGAGTCAATGGGATTGTTGACTATTTGAAGGAACGGCATTAATAGCTCTCTTAGTTTATCGAGCTAAAATTTTCCACAGAGGTGGCCGCTGCCTTTGACTCAAAACGTCGTCTGCCACTGGAGACCCCGATCTTCAGTGGCAGACGACGTTTTGAGTCAAAGGCAGCGGTGGCTTCTCCAGGTGTGCGTGCCTGGTTTTATCATTTTTACTAATAAAACGCCTCGAATGAACACACTGACTAAACGCGAAACCCACAAGAAGGATTCAATTTCGGGCTATTGCCGTCTATGTCAACAACTGTCTCCATTTCTCGGCTGTTCCTCACTTCGACCTCTTTTATGGGCAGACACGGCCGCCGTAGGTAGCAAGATCACGCTCTTGATTTATGGACTATTTATTCTCGTAATGCACAAATATTAACCTCTGCACAAAATATTAACACGATACAACGCTTTCTCTGACTCACGCAACTAGTATTCAACAACTTTAGCCCGTGCCACTTGGTGTCTCACCGAAGACGCAGCACTCAGAGTGAGTCCCACGCTGCTCGAGTCCGGATGCACGCCCCAGGGCGGGAGCAAAACCGTGAAGAGCATCGTGGCCAGGATGACGATGAAGCCGCAGAGGCAACTGCCTACTCGAACGACGCGGTAGTACATACAGAAGGCCCAGTAGGCCCGCGAGTTGGTGTCCACCAGACGGCAGAAGTGGGCACAGAAGCGGTCCAGGACGCCGTAAGCCCGTATGCTGCTCAGTGCATCCATGGTCTCGGTCAGATGGGACAGCATGCGGGACGTGTGGATGGCCTCGAGGAATTTTGGAGCTTGAGAACCTCTGAGCGCCAGCCGCTACAAGAAATAAGAGAGAAAACCGGGTGATGACCGTAAAAGTGTGGTCATAAATGGCAAGCGTAATAAATATCAGTACAAAAGAAAAAAAAAAAACTCTTAGAAAACTTTAGACTGATTGTGAACGTTTTGCTGAAGAACCATGTCTCAGACTATAGTCATTAGGGAGTTTTAACATAGGGGCCCGTTGGGCTCCCCGGGTGGCTTGGGCCATCACGATGCACACGCGCAGGACCCCCAAGCTCCTCGGAGGACCCAGAGGACGCCCTAATCTACAGCAAGTAAACTAACGCTTTTAAGGCACTTTAGACGGCCCGCCCGGGCTTCAATTTACTACATAGGTGCCAGCAGGAGGTGGATGTTTAAAGTGAAAAAAATCGAGTAATGAACTGCTTCGCTCAAAAGGGACAACCAGAAACCTTTCTGGGCAATCTTCCGCGCCACTTCGCAGACGACGCACGCCGAGTGAGAAGTGCTGCCGGCAGATGGCGTGCACCACGATAATGATATGCACGGATCTCCCACGACCCGGCGCTTAAGTTATGAGTGACAATAGAGTCAATACACAAGCTACACTCAGAGTATACAGCGTGCAAGGTCGTCTGCTAGTTGGCACCTCTTGGGTATATTGTTTACCCCCCAAATCAGTCGCACCTCTGTTCGCCCCCGACCACCACCGACGACGGAGCGCGCTTGGTTTGCCTCGGCGTCGTGCGTTCCCCACGCATTATCGACGTGGTTCTTGGATCCTCCTGGCGTTCACGCATTTTGGAACACTTGCTCACCGTACTTCACTCCATTCCTCGATAATCTTATGGACGCCGCCATGTTAGTGCTGAGTGCAAGTCGATTCCCAGTGGCTATATAGATACGATTTGAAAATGAAATTTCCTCAGCTTTAGGTACCGGCTGACCGGAAGCTCCTAGCGAAATAGCGTTGCCCTGTCGCGGACTGTTTCGAACAATACTGGAGGACTCAAAAACGTTTCCAGCGATTTGGAATGAGGCTCCGGATGCCTGGCGGCTAATTTTAACCACGATGGCTCAAGTGCCGTCACTGTGCCGCCTTTTTTAGTGGCTCTATCTCTCAGCCTGGGGTCAGGTTTTAGGGAAAACGCTCAAAGGATACCGCTGACGGTAAGCGGAGCATTTTTATCGCATAATTCATGCGCGAACCCTTCCTTGAAGGGCCGTGTGAAAAATGGTTCCTCATTCTTGCTCTAAGCAGAAAAAAAAAATTCACAGGGTCTCCTATGTTATCCCTAAGACGTCTTGTAGGCGAAAGCCAAAGCGCCGATATATTAGACAGACGATTTCATTTGTTTCATGTTCTTTTTTGACATTATTCGCTTTACTGTCCTTTTTATTTTTCTATTGACTTCTCTTACTGCTCCTTAATTGCTCCTAATTCACTTTAATTCCTCTTAATTCACTTTGATTCCTCTTAAATCGCGTTGTCATATCCTTATTAATTTCGTTGCCTCTAATTCGTCTGAGTAGTCACGTAAACGTTTTGGTATCTTTTGTGTCGCCTACGTGTTTTCGCTCAAGGACGTTGAAGGTCGACTGAACGATGAGACAATTAAGGCTTTCGCCTTATAAGTGCTCTTCATAACACAACTCTCCAAATGCCAAAAATTTGTCCGTCTGTCCTTACGTTCGTTCATCCATTTCTCTGGTAAATTTAGCTGAGAAATGGATCTCACGTGTCCTATACACCAAATCATTCTCCAAGCTAAATTTAGCGGGGAAATTGACGTATGGTGGACCTAAACACTAATCCTATTCCCCACTATACTTAGAAGCAAAATTGGTGTCACGCTCCCTATGCACCAAGACAGTTTTTCCTCTAAATGTAGAGGGTAAATTGATAAAAAAATATATATATATAGAAACTTCAGTTACCAAAACGACGGTTTAAATGTTTTCCAAACAAAGGTACGCGATCGCTCCTTAAAGGAAATTTGCAAGAAAAAAGAAAAGGTCTAGTCTGTAAGTCTAACACCGCCTGCTAATCATGTGAACAGACGCGCGGCACCCTCCGGCATCGTCTGCTTTTCACCGCCATTCATCGTCTTCTCCAATGCCCGTGAGACGCGGACGCGAAAGCTGCGCGTCGGCGTCCTCTTTCGCCTACATCCGCCTGCTTTCCGCCCTAGTCTAAAAACGTCTGCAGCGCTCAGACGATGCTCAGACGATAAAAATTATTTTTTTAAACAATGAAAGACGTTTTTAATCGCAAAATTAAAGCGCAGCTCTTGAGGTATTTTCATTTTGTGATATACCATGCTGGAGAATTTAAGAAAGAAACATATATATGTACAAATACAGACCTAATGGGATTACATAAGGTCACGTGACGACATAACGCTACGTGATCACGTTACTTCACGTGATCACATCAACTTCTATCTGCACGTAACGCTACGTGGTTACGTGACCTTCTTTCTGCATCCCCCTCCTCTTCTGTGTCTACCTCCTCCTTCATGCTTTCCTCCTCCGTATCCTCCCTTCATCCTCCTCCTGCGTGCCCTACCCTCCTCCTCCGGTTACGCCGACGGCGACGGCGACACCGACGCCGCAAAACACGAGAACGAGCGCCTAAGAGCTGCGCTCTAAGAATACGTATCCCCCATCTACGCCTTTAAAAAAAAAATTCCCTGCAGTGTTCCTTTAAGCAGTTCATTTTATTCATTATAGGACTTTGGCAATAAAGATCGCTGTTAATTTCTAGCGTCGCTTACACTGATATCACTTACAGTGACGGCGACGACGAAAATAGTACACACGACGCCGACAGCCAACACGAACGGTGACTCGGTGCCGATGATGGCAAGCCTCGCGATGGCGATTAAGCCGACCTGGATGAACTGCTTTGCGTTCAGGTACAGCCTGGTGTCCATGTAATCCAGGTCCACCGAAAACCGGTTCACGATGCGACCCCTCGGCGTAGATTCGAAGAAAGGCACGGGACTCGACAGGATGTGTCCCAGCATTTCTCGGTGCAGAGAGCGTGAAAGACACCGCATTGCCACGGCCAAGAGGAAGCTTCCTAGGATCCTACACACAACTGGAAAACAAGAGCGTTCACTCTATATAGTTCTTCTCGCCGAGGAAAGTGTCCCAACTGTCTCAAATTCTGCCCCCTAGTATTGCGGGAAGCGACCGTCGCTCTTGCAGGAGTTGGTTAAGAGTGAAGTGGAAGCTTTTCCGCTCTCTTCCCACTTTAGCAGAGGGAAGGCTGAGGGGGGGTCACCTCCTCTTTAGCGTTCTCTCTGCTAAAATTGAAAGAGATGAGAGAAGCTTTCACTTAACTCTTAACCTGCCACCGACTATACAGTCACCACGCATGCGCCGTCGTGCGTCTCCCGGGTTTCTCTAGAGAGGGCGAGCGCGCGCGCTTTGCGTCGTCGTCGTGTCGTTGGCTCACGGATACCTGGAAACTGCGCTCGCGTTATTAAAATAACGCGATTGCACGTAACCAAGTGGCTCACGCAATGTCCGAAGGTACACAAATCTTGCTTCGCGTCACACTTCAGCGCAAGATTAACATTTCATGAACGCAGACCGAAAAATATGTGCCACCCCAAACCCGGCGCACCTCAGGGCGGCGGCATCCCCGCAAGTGCGAAAATCATATATGGCGTGTGTGACCCTTTCTCCGCCATTGAGGAGTTGGCCGGGCAAAATGAAAAAGAGAGTGGCACTCTGACTCCGTCATTAAGATACTTTTTTTCACTGTCTGGCGAACGCCCCCTCGTGGAAGGACTGTTTAGCCAGTGGCGTTCACTTCGTCGCCTAATCGTGTCGTCGTGTTACTGTTCAGCGAAATGCGAGTACGGATTCCAAACTATGCATAATTTCATCATAGGTCCGTGCGCAGTCAAGGACTAGAACGCATACGAACATAAACACGCTTACTAAAAACGTACGGCGCGTTCACGGCGATTGATCCGTTTATATTGTGGGAGCGCACGCGTACACAGAAATATTACGAACGCCGTCATGCTCGATTGACTCTCTCTGGTTGTAGCGTCGTGCTGCGTCTCCAACTTGAGGTAAAATGAGGCATATACTCAATTGATATACTTAGTTTCACCCTAAGTTTAGACACAGCCTACACTACTAGCTTATAAGACCAGTCTTGGACGCGTTACTGAAAAAAAAGTGACCGGTTACACCTACAAGTATATGTTATAGAAAAATGGAACTTCTTACAGTAATCAATTGCTGCATCACATAAGTAACTAAAATATTACCAGGAAGTAATTGATTACTTTTTCACGTTACTTTTTAGGTTACTACATAAGGTCAGTGCAGAACGCAGTCGCGTATGTCGCGTCAAACCCGGATCGTAACAACCCGTACACAGGAGACGAGGCACGCTGAGAGCTTGGCACTAAAACCTCGTTGAGCGCTTTGACATTTTAATCCTTCTGGCATCTCGGTATCTTTTTTTCGTTGTTTAGGGGTAAAAAAAACGATAGCGTGAAACGTCGGCGCAACATAGACGAGTAACGCACGGGCAGACAGAGGGACTTTTTTTTACTTTAAGGAGCTCGACTCAATACTTTTAGCTCTTTCGATACCATATTTATTTATTTATTTATAAATACTACATACTCCAATTTGGAGACATGGTAGGAGTGAAAAAAACACTTCAAATATGCAGAAAACAACAGTACAACAGCCGACAGTGCCTAAAAATTTACAACGGGCTCTCATGTAAATACTCCACGAAGCATAAATACAAAGGTCAACCACGCCAATAGAACAAAAAGATACACAAGAAAAAAACAAAAGAATACGCCCTACATATTACAGTCACAGCTCACAAAAATAATACACACTGAGCGAAGGAAAAACTTACAGGTAGTTGTTTAAGCGATTAACGAATTCTAGCAAGCTGCAAGAATGAACAATTTCCTCGGGAACCTTGTTCCACTCATCGACGGTTCGTGGAAAAAATGAGTACTTAAACGCATCTATTCTGCAGCTAAACTCGGCGAAGGCTCTGCTATTTTGATTTCTGGAGGGATATCTTGGGACACCAAACGGTGTTATGTACAACGGTTTATTCAGGTTTACATGACTGGAACTTAGACTGAACATAAACTTCAAACTGTCCACCTTACGTCTATGCTGCATTGTAGGCACGTCTGTCTGCTCATAAGGGGCTGAGACTGAGTCAAGACGACCATGTCTGTTAAAAATAAAACTGATTGCTCTTTTTTGCACATTTTCAAGTAAGGAAATATGCTATGCAGTGTAGGGATCTCATACGACCGCAGCATATTCGAGAGTAGAACGAATAAATGTCTTATAAGCGGTCAGTTTAATATCCACGCTAGCTTGTTTGAAATTTCGACGCAAGTACCATAGTTTCGACAGTGCCTTACGCACTATGTAGTTAACATGAGTATTCCATCGTAAATCGTTGCTAATTAGAATTCCAGGGTACTTATAGAACGAGACCTCTGAAAGGATATGACTGAAAGGATATGGGTATTCATTAGTTAGACGTTTGCGTTTGCGAGTAATGTGCATGTAGACACTTTTTATGAGTGCTTATGACATTTGCGAGGTCAAGCACCAAGCCTGAATTTTGCGAAGGCGAAATTCATGCTTGGTGCTTGACCTGGCAAAATTCAGGCTTGGTGCTTGGGGCGCACCATCATGGTGTTCATCGTGTTTCTGTAAGTGCTCTATCCTCGCTGAACCTATCATAATCTATAAAGATCCTGTGACGTTCGCTTTTGACGCTACTTAATGTATAGCTTTCGCTAAATTACTTAAACATCAAAGAGAATGCTGGGAACCTAGCTACACGTGCTGCACGCGCGCTCGCCTTCATTGTACAAAAGATTCGAGGTAAATAACCAGAATACAGCGTTTCTGGAACGCGCCTGCGAAGTGCCGTTTTCTTTAGACGTTTGCTTTCGAACAGCGCCAGCGCTGCAGACGCGAGCACACGCGGCGCGTGTACCTACGTTCCCGGCATTCCTTTTGATGCTTACGTAATTCGGCAGAGTCTATGCGGCGAGCAAGTCGTCTGCTTTCCGCGCAGAAGTTGCGCTAATGTCAGAACTACGCCGAGCTCTGAATGGCTTTGATTGGAAGGATAGTGAATAGACCTCAATGCTTGATGCCTTCAGGTCTCCTCATTATTTTCTTTTCAATCAGCCAATAAGAGCTCGGCGTCGTTCTGACGTCAGCGCAACTCTTGCGCGGGAAGCAGACGACTTGCTCTCGGCATTGGACCCATTAGCTCGTAGCGTCGGCTGCGACTGGAGTTAAGCTGAAACAAAGTATAAATTGTCTCTTCTGAAAAATAATCCTATCACAGCTTTAGAAACGCAAGGCGTGGCTTATTATTTATTCGGGCTCCAGCTCCGTGATTGGACGTTCGGTGTCTTTATCGGCTGACGCCGTAACCTAATTGGCTGCGGGGTTATAATAAGATGCACAGGATACGCCACGCCCTGTGTTCCTTAAACTGCCAACAACTATAGCTTCTTTTTTTTTAAATTTTGTATAAGTGATATTTTTGGGGAAAAAGTGCGTTAAAAACGCATAAAAAGAAACGTTTACCCAGTTTTTTTCATTTAAAGAAATCTACATACAAAACAGTTTTGAAACAACGCAGGCACACGCAGTTCTCACGTGGACAAAATGGTCAACATAGACGCACCGAATCACACACGATGGAGGAATTACTACCCTACTGACTGATCCCTCGCCTTATATGATTGTGCAGCTCTTTTTTTTTTTTTCGTTTTTTTCTTTTTTTGCTTACACAGATTTGCTTTAGGAAAGCTTTGAACACTACACAACTGCGGTCTGTGTAGTTGACGTACATACGGCCAGGGGGACGTAATGTGGGAAGGTCGCGGTAACGATAAATCGAATAATTCACTAAAATGTTTTAGTTAGCTTTTTAATTGGAAAAAATAAATATATGGTTCCAATTCGAAACTTGCTGAGCGTAATCGAAAATTACTAGCTCAGTGACTTTCATACTCCGTTTACCCTTAAAATGATACTGAACCGAAATTTTGATTTCGCAAAATAAGGCCGCAGAAGCGTTGAACGGGACGCTACGAACTCCAAAACATCACTCGTGCATCAATATCCCAAGCGGATGGCCGTGCCTTTGGAAAAGAAGGGCGTGATCAAGCGAGGACTCTGACGTCATTGTCGTCCTGGAGAATTTGAAAATGACGGGAAGCGGCCTCGCTTCTCTCCTCCTCGCTTCGGTTCACCAGCTCGATGGGACGAAGTGACGAGGAGAGGGAATGAGAATCGTGACGTGCCTTGTCTCGTCGGCCTCGTCGGCCATGTTCAATCGCGCACTTCTTTCCCAAAAATACGGCGATCCGCTAGAAATATCGCGGTACGAGTGATGTTTTTTGGATTATTCAGCATCCCATCTATCCGTCCAGCATTGTGCTGTGAGCTCGAAATTTCGGTTCAGTATCCACTTGTGCATAAGGCAGACGGCTGGCGGCGAGATATCGCGGATGATGAAAGACGGAATAACCGCGCGGGCAGGTTACCGCACTAGTAGCCCTGCTCCCGCTGTACTACTGGCAACAATTAAGCGCTCCACCGTGCTTTCCCACGTGTTCCGAGTCTTTTTTTAAGATTGACTGATTTAGAGGCTTTCAATTACGCTCAGGAAGTTTCTAAAAGGAACCATATGTTGATTTTCACTAATTATAAAGTTTATGACCATACTTAAGTTAATTAACCGACTTATCGTTAGCCGCCTGTATTATGTCCCCCATGCTGTAGAACTCTGCTGCTCGATTCAGATAAATGCAACCTTTACTGTTTTTCTTAAACAAATATATGAAGTCAGAAATAAAGCATATTGTATATTTGACAGTTTAAAGACATTCAACCTCAATTGACCGTCTTCGCCTTTACGAAGGTTACAGGTATATTTCTTTGTTCTCGTTAATATAACACGTAAATCCTTACATATCTAACTCAAATACATTCCCAAGCAAAAAATAAATAAAAAAAATAAAAGCAAACATTAGTCGACAAACACCAGCTCCACTGAAGTTGTTTTCGAAGGGTTAGCACTCTTAAAAGAGGGTGTTCGCCTCAATTTACTGTAGAACACTTTTCCACACCCTTTTCAATCACCTCATATGATGAAGGGTGTTCCGTGCAACACCACCCTATTTTACGATTAAACAATTTTTAGCCTTTCCACTTTGGTGAAGAAGGAAAACCAGCGAAGCTGTACTAGGGTGGGAATGAAGTAATGGCCGGCCGCAAGTCGACAAGCCAAAGTGGAAAGGCTTGAGAGGTTGCCGCCATCAAGCGACGGCGGCAAGCGGACAACCGGCAAGCACAACGCTCTCGACAGCTGCCGCGCCATCTATGAATAACGGCGGCAACTAGAGTTTTGTGTCGACATTTCTTTGCGGCGGACACGATCCTGGGGAAACTAGTCCTTATCAGCTCCGCACTAAAAGGGTGCATCACTCGAAGTGAGGGTGCTGAAAGAGTGTAGGCACGGGCGTAACTCTCTGGAACAAACCTTTAACACCCTTAAAGGTGTACAATTTCTTAATGTGTGTAGTTTACCGACTCATTAGTGGCAATGCAAATGCTTCGGTATGCAAACCACGGGATGTTACTGTGCGCCCAATAAGGAAAAAACAAATAGCACGTACCGTCGGAGACACACAATGCGAGGAGAACCCACATCCAAGTCGCCCCTAAAGGGTCGGTTGATGCGATGCCACTTGCCGCGCTGGTCCACGTTTTCATCCAGTTGAGTTGCCATCCGAGAGCCACCGCGCTTGCCACGAAGGCGAGCAAACCGATAAGAAGGCAAGGTCCGGCCAGTTTTGACAGGGAACACAACAGCTGCCAGGCACCCTGAGTGTATGTGCGATAGGTACTTTGTTCAATTATAAAAAAAAAGAAAATCTGCGAGTTTATTTTTCGGCAGAACACGGAGACGGCAAACCACGGCGAACGACTAAAGGATTGCAGCGAATAACTTAAATTCAACTAGACCTGGAAAAAAATGCAATATCCCCGGGGACAACGAGCAAGTCAAACGTCAAGCTGATTGTCCGTGCGCGGATTGCATATTTTGGTCTAACTGAATTCCGCCCGAAAGCAGAATTATACTGACTTGGCAAAGTTTTACCGCGCTTCTCAAATTTTCACGCTGGAAGGAAAACAAAATGCTGTTTTTGAGGGAGTTGTTCCGTACCGCAATGTTCCTCCATTACTTTTAAATCATTTTGCGTTCATTGCCCGTTTTTGTTTTCTTCCATTTTGTCTTAATGCTTAGTTTATGATGTTCTTCAACCAGCTCGTCTGTCAACTTTCGCTTCTTGCATGTCGTTTATGTTTAATTTTTATAGATAAAGTAGTTTTTTTTTCTCCCTTTATACACTTCATTTAACGAGGTATTTAGCGTTGCGGCGGAACAGTACCTTGGTAGATTCGGTGTCTTCGTCAACAGTCACTCGTCCATTCATAGCCTCTCCGCTCAGCTCAGTGTCGCGGCCGCTGAAAGATTACAGAAATTTTTCTTCAATTCGCAGAGAGGATTTTTTGGTATTACGAGGTTTAATCAAATACTAGCAAACGTTAGCTTCACAGATTCCGGTTAGCCTCTTGTAAAAAAAACAAAAAAAAACTGATATTATAGACTATACTAAACAAGATATTGTCGAATCTCTCGGTCTATCAGTGATGTCAGCTTGGACGGTTGCTTCTTTTTAATCATTATGTTGTATATCCCAGTAACACTACACTAAAGAGAAAGCTGGCTACAAACCAATTAAACCGAAATAATACGTGCCAACTATATCAGTTTCACAAATATACATTCATAATACGTTTTTCCTTCACCATAATTATCCGTGCTTCGTTTGTATTCAGCGAGTTTAAGTCGAGAAACCCCTTTATCACAAATTTACTTCACAGCATAATTGCCGTGAACAGCTTACGGCTATATACAAATTTTACATATCATATATTAAGTTTTTTTTTTTTGTTGTAATATATACACTTTATATTTCAATACAATATAAGAAAACGTAAAGAAACGGTATTCCATAAACGCGTAACCCTATGCCTTCTATTCTAAGACTATGCCAAGCGGAAGTTCGTCTGCTTTTTTTGCAGGGGCTGTGGTGACGTCAGAACGCCGGGCTCTGATTGGCTTCTACTGAAGGATTGTGGGTAGACCTCAAAGCAAACTGCCTTGAGATCTACCCACCAGCGTTGCGGAGTTGCCACTCCGGACTTGGAATGATTCCGGAATCATTCCGCACTTTCGCAACCCCGGAATGAAATGGGAATGGAATTAGGGGCCTCTTGCAGGGAATTGAGTGGAACGGAATGAGCTCGGTTCTTATGCGAGCTGCGTCCATTTTCATCTGGGGCCTGCGGACCGCTGCAGAAATCGCTAGCGCATAGTAAGTGGCTCTTGAAACAGAAGCATTGCACTGGGAGTGACTGACGGCTTGATTGTCTCACTGGCTTATGGTCCTTTGACGATGAGAATGGCGTGCCGTACGTGAAGCAATCAAAACAGAAAAGTTGTAGATGAACAAGGTGCTGTTCCTGGCGCCGCGAGACGCGACAAAGCGGCTGTTATAGACGCTTTGCAGCAGCTGTGCATGGACGCCGCCGTAACTGAAATTCAGTTTTTGTTTCCTCTCATTTCGTTTATTTCACTTCATCATTACCATAGCAGGCCAGGCTATTGCCATATTGGACTCAACTGTGTCCTTTTCTAAAGCATCGGCCTTTCTAGAGGATCGTCAACTACCGCTTCAGTTGCTCGGCATCTCGGTAAGACAAAAGAAGGTCAGCAATGGCGGCTGTAGTTTGGCGCGTGTGTAAAGCGTCTATAATCATACGCGACTAGCAGGCAGCGCTTAACCTTAATGTCAAACCGAGCCCGAACAAAAAACCGGAGCTAAATTGTTATTTTTAACTGAACCGGAACAAAAATGTAACCCAAATCCAACATTTGATATTGAACACGACCCGGAACGGAACCGTAGTCTCATGTGATGGTATACCGGTTCACTGGAAACGGTTCGGCGTAGTACAATGAAAGTCGCACGACGCTGGCGTTAGCGGTTCAGTTTTGACTAAACAAACGTCAGCGACGACATGGAGATAGCCTCATAATAGTGAAGCAAATAGGTATATTTCACGTCTATGTGCAGCATGAATTGGCTTAGGCGAGTCAGCCCGGATGAGTACACTTAAATACTTTGTTTTACGTTTTTGGTGGACCGCAAAAGACGCTACGAGCCACCGGAGCCAATTCATTGCTCGGAGGGTGTCACGTGTCCTGCCGGTTAGGCGGAGCGACGCGGGGAGCGCGAAGCCACGAGATAAGCTACGATCTATGCCTTGCCTGGGATCGCTCGTTGCGTCCACGGTGGTACATCTCAAGTTGAAGCGGAGTATGTTTTTTTTTGTGTTTTTTTTTTAAGAACCATTTTGAATTTGTTCGTGCTTGGTAGAATCGGAAACTGAACCGTTCTTTCAAAAGAATCGCTGAACCAGAACCGAACTGGAATGATGACAGGTTCGACTCCCTGCTTTTAACCAGCCGATCTTCTAGTGTTTGCCTGGAACAAAAATAAGAATTGGACTGAATACGTCAACAAATCGCAAAAACCGCACAGCAAAACGTAAAGGTTTACGTTTTAAGGCAGGTCCCATAATATGGTGCTACAGTCCCTTGTGCTGGTGCCACACTCCGAGTGACTTTGTCAGCCGTTTACTGTTCTTGCCGCAATCATGCAGATTTGGGGCTTCTGTACGCGGCGTCCCTGCTAAGAGTGCACTAGCGGTGCTGTCGTGCCAGTCCTCGAAGCAGAGAGCAAGATAGCTTCTTCTTGCACCACGCACAAACTAGACAGTTTTAAGGCCTTACCAAACAAACAACAAGCTAACCATCCTTTCGTCGAAGAAAAGGGGTGGTTTCAATTTTTAGTTTCTGTTACGACTCAGAAGCCTTCTACGCTTGATCGTGCGATTAATGTTTTCAGTGACATCAAGTGCCACGAAGCGCTTTCGTCGACCACCCTTCGGCATAGTAGAATGAGTGCTTTGAGGAAGCCTTTCATAGTTTCGCCGTCTTCTCCGCGTTTGACAACGTCAACAAAGTTCTGCTGTTTTTTTCTGGTTCTTTTTTTTTTTTCAAGTAACATAATTTGATTGTTAAAGGCCATTTCTTCACGCTTAGAAATTAGAGGAATGGAAGGGGGGTTCGGTCATTCCAGGAGTGGGAATGGGCTCAGTATATCCATTCCGAGGAGATGAATGAGATGGGATTGTCGGAAACCCTAATTCCCCGGAATGGAATTAGAATGGAATGGGGGGGTGCCCATTCCGCAACACCACTCTTCACTACTTTTCTATGACTAGAGCCGATTAGAGCTACGCGTTCGGACGTCACCACAACCCCTGCAAAAGAAGCAGACGAACTTGCGCTCCTCCGCATACTCCGTATCCCTTTTGAGGACGGCGACCGCAGGACTCGATGGAACAAATCATGCAGCTCCTAAAGTGCAAAGTCACGACGCTCGTTTTTTTTTTTTTTTTTTTTTTTGGTGGTTTGCTGTCACCTGCTAAACCAATCGCTCAGAGAAGCCTGAAAGAAAAATCCATCAATGTAACCCTGTTTTGCAGTCAATGTTTTCCAGTGGACCGCTGACTGTGCCTGACTGTACGTCAAGCATGTCTGATTGGCCAACAAGTTACTCTGACCGACAGTCAAACTCCAGTCAGACTCCACTTGTCGGCTTTCTGATGGTTTCCTGGTGGCAGTCGGCCGCCGCGAAATGCCATCAAGATGTCTTGGTGGCGATTCTGATTGTACATCGATTGTCTCTGACTGTACGTCAAAAAGCTTTGACGTGCAGACAGACGTACGGTCAAAGGACTTAAAGTTCGTTCGGATACCACTATTTTGTCAAATCTATGAATGCGAAAAATAATCTATGCACAAGAAAACGATTTCGGGACGTGAGCCCATAAAACCGCTGATGTTAGAGATATGACACGCAGCCGACCGACAACCTTGATCAGAAGCCCGCCGAAACGCCGCCGAACACGCCACTTCGCTTCGCCCATAGAGGCTTCGCCGCTTCGCCAAGCTTTCATGAACGATCGCTCTCGACTCGTTTTGTTTGCCCGCTTGCTCCAACCTGTCGATCCTGCCCGGGCTCTACAATGTCTTATGTTTTAGTAGAATTTCTACTCGACAAGACCCAGCCTGTTTTGAGTTCCGACGATGTAAGGTACTTTAGCGGTGTAGTTGAAGACGAAAAGGTGTACGAGATCTACTGGGCCGGAGACGCGCGAACAAAAGGATCGTTCTACGACGCGAAAGTACTCTACATGGCAGGTGAGTAGAACTGAAGTACGGCGAGTGATGTACGAGTGCTTTGCATAACATGCTGGAGGCTTAACTGCATTTGCAGCCTAAGCATTTCGTATAAATGGAATGGTCAAATCGAATTTCCAAAGCGATGGCATAGCATAGGGGTTAAGTTGTCCGATTTGTAGTCGCGGGTTCGATCCGCGGTGGTCCTGATTTTTTTTTCTCGAACATTTTGTTTTATCGAGACATTTGGCGATATTTATGAGTGCGTATAGCTTTACTCTTATATAAATTCTGCCCTTGTTGATGAAATTCCCCAGGCAGTGGCAGTCAGACGTCATCTGATGGGCCATCAGATGACGTCTGATATTCCATCACGTTCCACCAAGGCTGCTGACTGGCAGTCAGTGTCCCAAATTACGTTTCTTGATGGAATTTTCAATAGGGAGGCCAAAGCTCAGTATCGCAGCTCAGGCATTGTGCGTGATTATAGTTTCCTCAGTTGCACATAGCAAACGGAACAAAGCCGACGAGGTGCACCGTGACGACGCCATTTTGGCGCCGCTTGACTTGCTTCATCGTATTGTGGCGTGAGCTGTGGTCGGACTTGCAACAAAACGGAGTATGGTAACTCAGGCGCAGATCAATGACGACTTTTGGCGATGGCAAAGAATTGGAGGACGCTTAAGCTTCGCCTTTAAAAGTGGAACGCGATAGCGTTAGCGGGCAACGTTCGAGTCAGTAGCCTGCCTGACTCGCAGCTGAAAGGCCGCGGGTTCGAACCCCGCCTAAAGTTCTTCGAATTTTTCCTTAGGGCAAATCAGTCGCTTTATGAAGTGACATCATTCCAGACTTTCCATTCGCATTACATGTTTTTATCTCTTTCATTACACGCGTGATGTCCTTTGCACGTTTCACGTGAGCATTGTGGATTGTTCGGGATTCCCGCGGGAGTTCACGTGGCTATGACGTCATGACCCTATCGAGCAATCGGGATTTTCCCGTCACAACGCCACCGACGCCACCGACGCCGGCCTTTCTGTCACGCGAGTTCTTTAACGCTAACGCGTTAAAACTCACCGGTACACGTTGTTGTTATTTTCAGCGGCCTTCGAGATGTGGGCCCCCTGACGAAGTGTTTCCGGCGCTCCTGGATCATTCAGCAGATCCTCGAGAGAGTCGTGAACGACGACGCGTCTGTCGTGAACCAACACCAGCGTGTCCATCTGATCCAGGAACGATCCCTGGTTGCACGCCATGATGCGCGTCTGCAAACAAGAGATAATTACAACGACGAAGGGCCAAACCGGAAATTTTGCGTCTGATAACAGACAAAGAGCTATTATATTAAGATTAACGTCCTAAATAGCGCCGAAGTCTTAGCGAGTCACCTCATTATCACCTCTGCAGCCAATGAAATTCCGGCACGAGGGACGCCGAAGCACAGCGAAGCATGCAAGAAGACGCCTCACACTGCCTTTCTTAGCTGTTATAACGATCTCAAAAAGCACAGACATAAAAAAAAAGATCGTCCTCCTTTACTTTTCTTCCACACACGTGGTGGATCAATTGGTGCGATCATTGCAGCTCGTCAAGCGCAAGAACAGCATAGGCAAGCGAAACAATGCCGCTTGTTTCCTGGGCAGATTGCATTTTTAAAATATAGACCGTCCTTCGATCGTTGTTATTTGCTTCAGGCGCTTCGTCTGTTGTCTGCAGGGCTGCTGTAAACTTGACGAGCAAAAAGTTGTAGAGAATACACGGAAAAAAAGCACAAATGTGCACACCTATAACATTCGTTGCCCGCGCACTCCTGATTCGATCATGCGCAACCAACGCATTTTCCTGAAGCGCATAACATAAGAAATACGACCAACTCAGTGACCTTAAAAGACATATGCAAAGAATTCATTTCTGACAGCCTGTATGAAAAATTTATTTCATAAAACAAATTGACAACAACAACAAAAAATTAGAGCTATATTTAAGACGCGAAACGGTTTTGTAGTAGGCGCTCGCGGGAGCCCGCGGAAAAGTGGCCGCTATAGTCACGTGGTGCTTGCGCTATTTAGGGAGCTTCTTATGGACTTTTAAATTGACTTACTATTTATCCTTTTAAGTATAACAAAATAATAAAAATAAAACGAAGATTAATAAGTAGCTTTTAAAGCTCATATTATAGCTTTTCTTTTTTCGATGGAAATTTATTTTATGACATCGTTCCGCATTCAGGCTGCTTAAGAAAATATTGTTGTTTCTGCTTTGCATATGTTTTTTGAGCTCTTAACCTTTAACAAATATTGGAAACATCCCATCAAATGACGCAGCTCCATATATGATTAGAGTAAAAAATGCAGATGAATGCCGTGAAAATTAGCACGACGTTTCACTTGCACATTGTTCCCGCCCGCATCGCACTTTTCAGATCTGGTCTTAATCTTAGTTTCGTCATTCGATGAGCTCCTTTTATTGCCCGCCATGATTCGCAGCCTTTGTGTTCTGCAGAAAAGTAAACTCGCACACTTTAGAGAGTGTAGCGTCGGCTGCGCTCTCCAACATGGAAAAATGAAGTATTCATTGATGTGCATTGGGAGACTGCTTCCTTCTGCGCGACTCTGCTCCTTGGTCGGTCAACACGGCGGTGAAACACTAGATTTGAAAAATCTGCACGTGCAATGTGCTTTTAGAGCGCAGCTCTTAGGGGCCCGTTCCCGGCTTGAGCGGTGTCGGCGTCGCCGTCGCCGTCGGCGTAACCAAGGTCATCCCAAGGTCACTTGACACCAAGGTCACCCCAAGGTCACGTGACCCCTCCCCCAGGGTCACGTGACCCCCAAGGTCACGTGACACCCAAAGTCACGTGGCTCCCCAGGTCACGTGTCCCCCGGGGTCACGTGACCCCCCGATGACGTCATCAGTGACGTCACTGATGACGTCACCGGCATCCGCATCGTCAGCGTCATCATCACTGATGACGTCATCAGTCACGTCACTGATGACGTCACCGGCATCCGCATCGTCATTGTCATCATCACTGATGACGTCATCAGTGACGTCACTGATGACGTCACCGGCATCCGCATCGTCATCATCACCATCCGCATCGTCATCGTCATCATCGCTGATGACGTCATCAGTGACGTCACTGATGACGTCACCGGCATCCGCATCGTCATCGTCATCATCACTGATGACGTCACCGGCATCGTCATTGTCATCATCACTGATGACGTCATCAGTGACGTCACTGATGACGTCATCGGTATCCGCATCGTCATCGTTACTGACGACGTCATCGTCATCGTCACGTGACCCCCACCCAAGGTCACTTGACCCCCCTCCCAGTACCCTTCCCTCCTCCTCCTCAAGAGCTGCGCTCTAATTCGGCGTTACAGGGAGTAGTAAACGGCTTTCACTTTTTTACTCCTCTGGCAGCGGTGACATGTCGAGTTACTTTATGAAGTTGCGTCTTCTTGCTCATTTTGAAATTTAGTGATTGTATCGAATACATACTCTGATTTAGTAAAGTGTTCTGTAATGGAAAAGGCAACCCAAAAACCGCGATGATACCTTTCCTTTGAGGATGCCGTCTTTGCCGATCACCTCGTTGAATACTTTTTTTGAAACGACTGCGTCCAGAGCACTGAGAGGGTCGTCAAGAAGGTAAATGTCTGATTGGCTATAGACGGCCCGCGCCAAACTGATTCTCTGCTTCTGTCCGCCGCTCAAAGTCTCACCCTGTAAAAAGACAGAGTAGAAATTATGAAGTCTTCATATGTACCCAAGTCGCTATTCTTTGTACAGCTATGAATTTCGTTTCCAAATCATGGTGATTACAATTATTCGGTCACTAAAAAAAGTCATATGATGTCTCCTAGGGCCCAGGGCTCATAATATGGTCTGGAATAATCTTGCACACTTCGCCTTCAGAAAACGCAGTGGTTCATAGAAAACAACAAAAAAAAATCCACCATACAGCATGTCCATTAATACTTCAAACTCACTTCAAACGATCAGCGAAAATTGGTTTCCCCAAGTATCGCGCTGCGATTTGCTACAAAGGTGCTGTTAGGCGGTGGATGTTTGGAGCAAAATCATCAACAAATGAAATTACCTTGTTAAAAAAAAAACTGTATTGCTCAATGTTTGGCGGCATTCGCAGACGGTGCTCCCCCACCTGTATGTGCTGCCAACAGATGGCGCAACGCGAGGCACGAGAGGATTAGAGGACGTGGTTTATAAGCTGCGTTTGCAATACGAGATGCGAAAAAAAGGTGCCACAAGCGTTGATCGTCTGCAAACATATTCGCCTTCCCTCCTCCTTCCCTCCTCCACACGCGAAAACTCAGCACATGCGCACTTGCCAGTAATCTCCGCAGGGGGCGTCCGCCATTAAATTGCAAATGCCTCCGATGATTTGAGATAGACCCTCTCTTCAATTTTAGGCTTTCTAGAGAGGATGCGGCGTCCCGTTCGATCCTCTCCGTACAAAAAATGTGTGTATGTGTGTGTGCAGGGGGTAGGGGGAGGGGGGTAAGAAATTTTAGCACTTTTTTTTTTAAACAAATGATTGCACTTTGCAAATCATACATTACAGAGACGCGCGCCGCGCTGTAGGAGCTTTGCGAAAATTTTCGGAAGATCGTCCGCTAAGCTCGGCGCCGGCTCGTCTTCGACGCTTCCGGTATCTCATGGCACGATTTCCAAACGGCACGTACCGTCTGCGAACGCGGCCGTAGATTGCCAGAAACAGGTGTATTTTTTTTTTCTTGAACGTGGCAAGTTCGTCTGTTGATATTTTTGCCCCAAACTTCCACTACAAAGCCGCGTCTCTGTAGTAAATTGCAACGCGGTACGCTGAACAACCGATTTTTCCAAACCGTCCAAAGTAGGGTCGAATCATTAGTGTACACGCTGTAGAACCCCACTATAGCTAGGCCAACATCTCCTGGATAGCAAGGCCAATATCTCCTAGATAGCAAGGCCGTAGTGTTGACTTTCGACGTAAACTAAATGAGGCTAACACGGAGAACTGATTCGACACGACTGCAGCATCCGGGTTGGGCTGTAACTCGTGTTTAAGAATGAAAAACACGAGTCTGAGCCGAACGCTGAAGCAGCAGTCATATCCAAACTGTCCGACGTTAGCCTTTTTAAGGTGACGTCATAAATTCAGCACTACGGCCTTGCTATGTAGGAGATACTGGCTAGGCCTAAAGTTGGGACCGCTTTTCGAGATTGTCAAATGGCGCTCTCTTTCCCCCTTCAACTTTCATTTCAATCGTGTTGTCTAACACAGTCTAATAAACTGCGAGTGCATATATCGACTCAGTGTGACATTCACGGGAGTAGTGTTAAGAATACGGACCTTCTCTCCCACTTCGGTTAGATCCCCGGCTCGAAATGTGTTTATGTCCTCGTGAAGTTGGCAAGCGCCAAGCACGCGGGCATAGTCCTCGTCATGCATGGGCTTTCCGTAAAGGATGTTGGACTGCACACTCATGTTGTGGACATTGGCGATTTGCGGGACATAGGCTACGCGGCCCTGAAAACAATATTTATTTATTAATTTATTCACGTATTTGCACTGCTTCTCAAGTACAGCGTAAATACCAAGGGAAGAAGACACGGGGTCAGTGGTACCATCGGGCTCAAATGAGCTACAAACAGTGACGGAACTTCGAGCCCACTGCCGGTGCAGCTTCCAAGCTTGGGTGGTGCTTGGCGAGGTTCAAACTCAACGGAGTTCGACGCTGCGAGGTTATGCTTCCTACTCCGATGTGTTTGGACTTCGCCAAGTGCAACCCATGCTTGGAAGCTGCACCGGTAGTAGGCTCGAAGTTTCGTCAGTGTTCGCATTTGATTTAAACCCGACGGTACATTCGTTTAAAATATTATATCACACCGGCGATTAGAAGCTAGTGCAATACCTTATGGCCACGCTTGAAAGCAATACTCCCGGAGTGCATGCACGAGGGATACACCTTGTGATCTCCCCGTCTTTATCGGAAGAATAGACGACTAGTGTTAATGCCGCCTGGTTGTCTTTCTTTTTGCGAAAAGTGGTAGCCGCAAGTTCGTGTTGCTCTTTGCTTGCCTGAGGATTGGGTTACTAGCAAGAAAAAACAAACCCAGGAAGGCCGAAACTCCCTGTTTTCAAAATTCAGGCGGGTGACAAAACCAAAAGGTGGCAAAGCGAGAAACGCGGCCCAGCTAACGAGGAGTCAAAGAATTTGGCAAAGGATGTGGCAAAAAAGGTGACAAAGCAAAAAAGCGGACAAAGTTAACATGTCAAGTCCCAGAAAGTGGCAAAGCTCAGAAGGGAGCAAATCCAAAGGGTGAGAAAGCTAAGGAGGTTGCAAAGTCAAGGTGGTAGCAAAGCAAAGCAAAGCCAAGGGGACAGTGAACTGAAAAAGAGAGCAGAGCCAAAGAGGTGACAAGAAAAAACGGCAAGCTCAAAGAGAAATCAAAGCCAAGAAGGGGGTAAAGCCAACAAAACGGAAAAGTTAGAAAGGCGGGACAGTTGAGAAGGAAGCAGTCAAAACGTCTGCTATGCGAATGAGGCAGAGAAATCAAGAAAGCGGCAAACTATAAAAGCAGCAAGGCCAAACTCAACCCATTCATGTGGGTCGTAATGCCGCAGTCCAACCATAGTGACAAAGAGGACCAACTGACATCGACAAGCCTCAAGCGCGTGAGGCATGCACGCGAAGGTATTCTTGGCAGGCTTGCAATCATTCATACAAACATTACGAGAACCACAAGAATGCAGTACTACATCAAATGTGCCTACGTTCTTAAGGCTTGTCAGTGTCGGTCGCTTGTGTTCTTTGCTCTAGTGGGACAGGGGCATTACAGTCGAAGGTTTTACAATGTCATCTTTATTTTGCAAGGACCAATCCCGTAATTGTTGGAAGTCATCTAGTGTCACGAATGGGGTAACGCACGGTGCACTTGACGGTGCCCTCCAACAGGTGCATGTCTCCGAGGATAGCGGAGAGCAGAGAAGACTTGCCGCTGCCCACGAACCCTACCACGCCCACCAGGGAGCCGGGCTTCACGTGGAGGTTGACATTATCGAGGCCGGCGCCGGTCTCGTCGGACGTGTTCTTGCTCCACGTAAAAGAGCTGTTGGAAAGAATCACCTCTCCTGGGCGAAAACAGGCTAATGAGAACAGCATTAGAAACACGACATGCTTCGATGGCCAGGGAGAAAACTGTCAGCCTTTTCAGGAAAATATAGACTCGATCGCGAAGACAAATCAAAGCTGTGGTCAAGCTTTTGATAATTGCTTCATTGATAGTACTATTATTATTATTATACTACTATTAATATTATTAGTAGTAGTGGAAGTAGTTTTTCACGTGCGACAGTGTAAAGTCAAGAAGACGGGACAGTTGGGAAGGAAGCAGTCAAAACGTCCAATATGCGAACGACGAAGCGATATCAAGAAGGCAGTAAAACTATAAAAGCAGCAAGGCCAAGCTCATCTTATATATGTGGTCCGTTATGCCCGAGCCTCACCATGGCGACAAGCAAAAACAACCGATATCGACAAGACTCAAGCACGTGAAGCATGCGCGCATTAAGGTATCATTGGCGAGCTTGCAATCATTCATCCTAACATCACGAGAACCATAAGACTACAACCCTACATCAGTCTTGTTTGTGGACACTGCAGTGAACATTGATTGACTCATTTATTTATTCATTCATGCATTGATTATTTGATCGATTGATTGGTTGGTTTTGTATGCGTGTATAATGAGAATTTATTGTCTTTATGGCTCAATAATTACATTTATAAATTAAAAAGAAGGAAAACAGATCTAAAGATACCAAATAATGATTAAAGCCTATAAACAAAAAAAAGAATACTTTTAACGCAAAAAATATAGAACAATATTTGTTTCACGATACTTGGGCTCACCTTCAAGACCGACGACCAGTTCGCGCTTTCCACTTTTCCCTCGCTTCCTCCTCTCCCCCCTTCTACCCTGTCCACCGTTGCCTCATTCCTCCTCCCCCATGGGGAGGAGGATCTTCTGCCTTGCAGAATCTCGGGTCTGGTCGTCGGCCTTTAAGCCCAAACACAGCCTACGCTACGAGCTGACGGGACCAATTAGACAGTGTCAAGAGCACATTACTATAGTGTTCGTCATTTTTCTCTACGAAATCTATTGTCGCTGAACCTATCATACACAGAAAAGACCCAGTGACTTGCGCCATAAATTGATCAATTGACTTTTCAATTTACAAGGAAGCCCTTTATACGTGAATATGTAATTTCACGACTTTTAAAATGCTTGCACACGTGAATTTGCGTGTGAACTATAATTTACCGTCTCGTTTTTCAGCATTGTCTTCAAAGTTGACCTTCGGCTCCTCTTTCTCTTCTTCGGTGCAGAATTCAACAATCCGCCTCACCGCCAAAGATACCTTTTAAAACAAAGAAATCAATGAGTTAGTCTTGTTACTGAACAAACGAGAAGTAAGACTCAAACTTTTAGGTATAAAACATTAAAGAAACGGTACGTGTCGGAAAATAATTTCACGATATTTTCATTTTAAGATAACAAACACGTATACATTTCAATCATTTTTCTACGTATATATTTTATTCTTTTACTTGAGACAACGCTGTTTTCTATTTTTTCTGGATTTTTCTTTAACAGGATAAAAGAAATCCATTTTTTGGGGGCTCACACAGGTTATGACAAACACAAGTTAGAACGCTGTTAAAGGGGTGAAAAAAACAATTTTGTGCCTTTGCTAGAATCCCGCTTGCTTAGAACTATTTTTTTGACATTCACAACTTATGAAACAGACGTGTTTCCTTTTTTTTTTTTTTTTTTTTTTTACAAAACGGAAGTCGTAAAAAGAAAAATTCGAGACGCTTTTTCCTAAAATTGAAGTCATTCTAGTGGCGTAGTGCCGCGCAACGCACTTTGGGAACTTATTGGTCACGGTTTTAATTTCGATTTTCCACCCTGAATTCACAACATTCCGTCACGACTAAATACAGTAAATGCATTTTAGAATATGTGACTTCCCTTACATGCATGTTATGTTTGAGGGGGGAAGGGGGGCCTACCAGAGTTTATGCGCAGGCAAACACAGAAAGCGGAAGAATTGCACTGGGCCTATCATCCTCTTGCATCATCTCAGTGACCTAGGCTTCCGAAATTATCTATGAACAGGGAGGTTCATACTGCACTCTGGAGCGGTGGCCTGGCCGGCGGAAAGGTATGGGACGCGGCCGGCCGTATTCCTACTCCTCGATAAGTATAGGCAGGTGCTTACGGCCGCTGTAGATTCCTGTTTCAACGGAGGCTCTCACGAAGATGAATGAGTGCCATGTAAGCGAGCGCTCACTTTATTTTCATGCAGTGCTGAGACGCCCTACTTCATCAATGGGGCGATCGAAACCGAAACCATGCCACTCCTCTCCAAGGCCAAATTGGTCTCATAATGCAACGCGCGGAGTATTGCGTGCAGGAACTTGAAAGTAGTCTGTAACCTCAACCTTTAGGTAGTACACTGTACTCAACTGTTAAATATAACAACAGAGCGGTGGCCGGAGAGACTGTATGCGTCATTCGTCATCTACCGGCTCACTCTGGCAGCTTATGCCGCTGTTGTTTTCATGAGTTACACCCCCAGCTCCGAAACAATACCCAATGCATGACTCCGCGATAACAAAAAAAAAAGTCTCTCTTCGATTTTGTTCTTCGTTGTTTAAAGAAGGTGGCCTTTATCTAAGAAACTGCAAGATCACCGAGGTATGGTAGCCCCGCATGGTAAATGCGTAGGTGCGACTAAACAGAGCGGAAAAAACAACAAAACAAACAAGTAAATATTTAAAGCGCGGGTGACAAAGAAAGACACAGGGAGGTCATGCGATAATTGTATCGGGGAGCGGCGACAATCGCAAGAACAGCCGCCTTATTATCTGCAACATCATTGATTTAATCGCTAGACAGCTCTGTTATCAGTTTCGGCCACCACTCCGCATTATATTTTACAGTTGAGCACACTGTACTAGCGGCCACGTGATCTGAAGCTGATAACAAGCCGCGAATGTTTATCATAGCTAACCGCGGGAGTTGGCAGAGCACAAATGTGCTCCTCTATACTGACAAAACCTGGCAGATCGTCACGAGACGAGGCCGCCGAAAATAAAAAGGTAGAGCGGCAGACAAGAGTTATGTAACGGACGCCCCGCTGCGGCGAGACGCCGAAACACACTTCTCCCGAGCGATGGAATGTCCACTCGTGCTTCTCGTGTTCCTCGGGCTACAGCTTCTTTTCTCGTCGGGTTCAAAAACCATGATTCGGGTCCTCGCCGCTGCAAAAGCTGTGCGCTGAATACCAGACTCCCCGAGAAATGCTCTCTGCTACCAGATCCTCGCCCTTTAAGCCTGCGACCGGGCACTCTATGGCTCCGTCATCAAACTGCCAGGCTTTGTGAATATAGAGGAGGCTATGGCACAAGGCATACGCTGTCCCGTCATCGCAGCTAATGAGACACGAGAAACTACACGAATGCATGTTGATGCCTTAATTGTCACGAGCCCAAATCGAATGCTTCGGCAATGCTCGTGCCCACAGTATTAGCCGATTTTAAACACCGTCAACGCGTGGGTCTCAAACGTTAATAGAGAGTTTTAGTAGAACGTTCCCATGACTCCGATAACGATACCCGATACTCCGCCACCGCCTCCCTTGCGCATGCATAGTATCGTTATCGGGGCTATCGGAGGTATCGGAACGATCTCTCGTTCCGATACCTCCGATAGCCCCTCTCTAATGACTAAATCCTGGGGATAGCATGGTTGACGACGCCCACGATGCGATCCCCAAAACTTCGTCATTAATTTTTGTAAAGGAGGTACTAGAGCAAAACGTCCGCTTTTATCCTCAAAATTACTCGGCGAGAAAACGTATTGGTCAGCAGCGTGGCGCGTGAGGATGCTTGGGCCCCACTACTGCCAATTAGTTTGTGCAAAGGCAGAAAAATGCCTACTCATCATAGGTTGCACGGCCTATAAATGGGCGCTTGAGTCACTTTTTCGGCAAATTTATCTGCGAAAGGTCCGTGGGTACCAAAAGGTGGACTGTGGTATCGATTAAATTTTATTACTTCGCTCGACGTTCTCTGCAGGTTGAAACTAACTGATCTATAGTTCAGTAGAAACGCGATAGTAAACAATTAGTATAGTGTCAACGGCGTCACATCGAAAGGAATACTCGTTCAAAATGCATCATTATAGCGATATGATTCATGGCCATTCCACAGATTAGACTTAATTTAAAATTCTCGCGTTGGTTGATTTATTTGTTCCTTCACTCAGAATTAATTACATGTTTTATTTACCGAGAGCTGATCATAATCCTACGTCTTTAAACATTAGCCACGGGTGAACAAAGGAACCGTTACCTGACTCCTGCATCGCAGGGCGCACGCCATTTGCGTCATGGTGACATCCGTTAAAAAAACGATGTACACACAACTGAACGTGGCAGCCGATGTGAGGACTTGTCTTGGGTTGAAAACAACCAAGGTTGCGAACAATATGATGATCAACTGCGAATGTCAAAATACAAATGTTTTTATTATTTTCAATGTTCAGTGTGCGTGGTTCGTCTTGTCATTGATAACAAACGCGCAAAAACGATGGTCGCAGTGACGGTGCATTTCTGGAACTGTTTGATTGGCCCCATTCGATCGTCGCGTCCGCTGCGGTCAAATTGTTTAAGCGAAAAAGAGTATAGACCTTTCCAGCTCTTATTACACTGGCGAAAACTGCTGAGTCACTGAGCTGTGGACGCCTGCGCAGCGTCTGATATATCGCAGAACAGAGCTACAGCGCATGTCCAGAAGGCGTTCCACAGCCCAGTTGACAAGCACGGCAACGCGCAGAAGACGATTTTTGCAAATGTCTATAGACCTTTTTCACAAGGGTGCCGCCAACTTGAATTGTCGTCACTTCCAGTATGAGCGAAAACGTTGTTGTGCCATTGCCACGCCAATAGAAGGCATTTAGGATATAAGCGTAAACGTCACACATTCTAGTTTTGCCTTCCTCTTTTTTTTTACCATTTGCAAGTTGAAACGTTTTATTATTTTTTCGACGCCCATTCCGGATATGTGTAGGTGGCTGGGGACGAGAGTGCACAAAAAGGTCAATAGTACACGATTATCGCACTCAAGCAAGCCATACCGAAGGCAGCCTACGCTTCGTAGGAGAACCGGTGATTCGCTGCCCCGGGATGCGACGATTCCAAACATCCCGCTGCCAGTATGAGATGCTCTACGGATTCCGTGACATCGCCGTTATACCCCACCTTCCGGTCACGTGAAACGCGACGTCACGCGTTCAATGAAGGTGATTAAAACGTGACATGTAATGCGAATTATAGTTCGCCGCATGTCTCAAAAGATTTCACTTTAGAAATTAATTCATTTGCTTTAAAGAAAAAAATATCAGAATTTTAGGCGGGATTTGAACCGACAACCCTTCGGTTTTGAGCTGGACACGATACCGACTAGGTCACGTGAGGCACGCTTGCAAGGCTTGGCAACGAGCGGGAGTTTATATGTATATATGCCGTGCCCGAGCCGAAGCGAGGCGACAGCAGCGGCAGGACGATCCGGAGACGCGATAGTGTCTCCGAGCATCAGAAGCCCATGAAAACGCGATGCGGACGGGGCCCCATAACGCTCTCGCTTTCCACTCTTAAAGGCAAAGTTAAGCGTCCTCCGAGATTTTTTTTTTCCCCGTTCTTTTTGTGCAAATAAAAGTTTTTTTTTTTTTTTTTTATGTCCGCTTTAGTGAAATAGACCACCTTGCAAGCACTTGCAGTAACCGTTTACGACTAGAGACTGACCTACCTATCCACACTAATAAACGAAGCATGTTGACGCAGTTTTGTAAAACTCGTTCTAATTAAAAAATAAAAATAAAATATCACAATTGGCTTCAACACTATTGGCTAAGTTCGCTGAGACCTTAGTAAAGGCTCTGTGACATTTCGCTTTTAATGTGTGCGTGTGGACTGGTATGGGTGGTCCTCGACTTCGCTTGGAAATGTAGCGAATGGGGCAAACAGTATTATGCGCCAATCAAAAACACAAACTCTTGCAGCGCACTCGGACATGCTCAAAGAAAAATGTGTGAACCATGCTTAATAAATCTGCCGATGGTGCGTGACATGCATACCACAGAGCTTGAGGCACTGTATATGGAGTCAATGAGACCGTCCAGCACGTTGACCCAGAAGAGCGGCTTCATCTCCACGTCTCTGGCGCGCAGCAGCTTTCCTGGTAGGCGCCTTCCCAGGCATACATTTTCACGAGGCGCACCGACGATAGAAGGTCCGAGGTCATCTTGAGCCGCTCGCCACGGGCTCTCATCTGGCGTCGCTGTTATTGAACGAATGAAACGCCAAATTACAGTCTTCAACAATATAAAAGACCCAATCTACGAGGCAGTTTAAGTCGGCTGTGAGGGATTCGCTTTGGAAAAGTTCACATTCCTCGGTGTGAGAAAGTAAATAATCTTCGGGTCTATTCTTTCTCTAAAAATAAAATGTCTCTGATCAATCTGAACTTAGCATCACCGCATAAACGACCTCGGCGAATGAATTTTTATATATTGTAGGAGAGATACCATTCATGCCTAACCAAAGGCTTTCACTGCTCCTTGATGTAAGGTAAACAGGGTTGTGTTGATGTTTCCGGTTGTTGTAGAGTGGCCGCAGACTTGTACAGAAAACGCGAAAAATGCTCTATATAATTGAAACGCTATTCTGGTGGCAGCCGAATCATTCTACAGAGAAAGACCGAGGGAGAGAAGGTGATGAGACTGTCTAGGGATGACAGAGCGCCGAGCTCTGATTGGAAGGATTAATGGGTAGATGCAAAGGCTTGCTGGATTCACCTCTACTCACCGTTTGCGTTGGAACGCAGAACGCCACCCTCTTGCGTTCGAACGCGAGACACTGCGTGGAAAGCAGACGGCGGTCTTGATCGCCTTGATCGGAAAGATACAGTGAGTAGAGACGAAGGTTGCTAGCCTTTGCGACTACCCCCTAATCCTCCGAATCAGAGTACGACGCTCTGATGTACCAGCGCCCTCTCATCTCCTCCTCCCCCTTGGTTTCTTACCGTACCTGGATGCTAAAAACACCGGGAGTAAAACGCATTTCAGGAACTGTTGTTTGAACTGCGTTCCTTCAGGGTATTACAGTTTGGCATAGCAAGACCAAAAGCAACAATTATATTATTTTTAAAAAAAGTATTTGTTTGACAGTTGGTATTTAGAAAGTCAGCTTGGCAGCTTGAACAGTTGTGGTATATTATGATGACATCACCTATTTCATAGCAGATTATAAATTTATATTTTATCCTGAGGTTTTTTTATACGCTAAATTCAAATAGGAGTTGCACAAAAAAAAACTTTAGAAACAGGGAAATTTTCAAAACATTGTTTAATCCACACAATAAGGAAGATTCAGTCACTTGTAACATCTGTTTGCCTTTCATCATGTCGAAAGAATGTCATCAAAATATCCATTATGGTAAAAGGTTTTAATCCTAGCTACCTATATAGTCAATAAAATGTGTTGCTCGTCAACTATCTCATACCAGAAAAACCACTTCGGTAGCGACCTTTATCTCCAAATTGCTATAATGCATGAGATAAAGTAGTTAATGAGCGATCGTTTGAATGAGTTTAAAAGACATTATAAAATCGTTTTGAAAAGTGAGGAACTTACAGCAATAATCACAATAATAATCTTTGGAGAGGGGAAACAAGGGGAGCAAAGGAGAAACACAAATATCGAAACACCGCTATGTGACTGCTGCGCGACTGAAATAATCTGCCTGGTCCTGGTACAGAACCAGGGACCTTTCTATTTCCAGTAGAGCGCTCTACCAACTGAGCTAACCAGGAGTTAGACGTCAGCAAAGCAAAAGGTTTTAAACAGCTGCCACCAGTCTAACCCGAAGAAGGGTGAACGGCCTGATTTTAAGGGCATAATGTTAATGCAATTAATGCAAAGTGCCGCGGCCTGGAAATGGAGGGATTCCTGGTTCGATACCAGGACCAGGCGGATTTTTTTAGTCGCGCACCAGTCACCTTGTGGTGCTTAGAGTTTTGTGTTTGTCCTTTGTTCTTGGATTATTGTTCTTGTTATTCTTGTCCAGCTTGCTGCACTTTGCATTATTTGCATTACCGTCATAAATAATCTATATATTTATTATTTTCCCCGCTACATTTAGCGGGGAAACAGACTTCGTGCATAGGTCATGTGATGTCAATTTCTCCGCTAAACTTAGCGGGGAAATGCACAGAGGGACGAACGAACGGACAATTTTGGGGGATTGAGATTTTCATAACAACAGCACTAAAAAATGTTCACGCTGTATCGCGTCACGTACAAGAACCTATGTATGTATCTCACTCACCCAGAGCAGATTCTGCATCCTCGAGATTGGTATGGGAACCAGAAACACAAAGAGGAGGTATCCCGCGCAGCAAAGCGTCACTCCCGCGCCCACCCTCATCGCCAGCAGGTAGAGGAGGATGGGCATGCAAAGAACGCCGCAGCCGGGCAGCGGGAAATTGTAGACGCTCATCGACAACTGGGTGCAGTCTACGCCCAGTATGGACACCACGTGACCCGTCGAAATGGACGCCCTCGCAGAAGGAGATAGCAACGTCATCTGAGTGGTAGAAATAAAAAAACAAAAAAACACTGAGTGTTGAAAGCAAGCACCAGACCCATCGCGACGCGGAGACGACGGTCTTCTTCCCTCTGATTGGAGGCAGACAGTGGTCGGAGACAAAGGCAGCCTGCCTTCGCGTCTACCCACTAATCCTTCCAATCAGAGCTCGGTGCTCTGACGCCACTGCACGTCCTCCTCAGAGCCGTTTATACTGAGAGAGTTTGGCCGATGGGCGGAGCTTGTTGGCCGCTAGAACAAGCGGATTTCGCGATAACACAATATGGCGTTACTTCTTTGTCTTGTTCATTCCTGAGAAATCGGGTAGAGTTCCTATGAGTCAGAGCCACAATATGGCGGACGGAAGTAGTCATCCCCCGGTTGTCAGACTACGCTGCTGTGGTTGTCAGACTGTCAAAATCTCCTTAAGAAGGCCAAACTCTCTCAGTATAAACGGCTCTGGTCCTCCTCAGCTTCGCGCCTCCAGCACATGCTCGTTGCCTTCCTCCGAATTTCGGCTCCGCGTGCTACGGAGTTTTACCGAAGGCCGAATGCTCGCTCTCGAGAAGAAGCCTCTACTGGGATTTTAACCCGTCACCAACTTTAGGTGGGGTTGGATAATGCCTCAAGTTTTTCCTCCTCACCCGTTTGAAAACCACTATGTTTCGCGTCGCGGGGGTCCAGACTAACAGCAAAGGCTACAAGCGAAAGTGAGTACATTTGAATGGAGTTTGATTAACACTCTCGCTGTACGAGCGCGAGCGTAGCCTAGGCAAGATCAAACCCATGGGGATTGTAGAATGCAGTCTGCGCTTGTACTCCGCTCACCTTTATATGCTGAAACTACAACCTAAGCTACGAGCACGAGCTAGCCCCCGCTCCTGGCTTTGAGATATGCATTTCTAGCGCGAGCGCTCGTTCTGCGGAGAAACGCTTCAAAGCAGCGACCTCGAGCTCCTGCGCTAATGGCATTTGCTGCAGGGTGAACGGATTATAGTTCATGTTGAAGTATGATACCAGGCTGGCGATACAAGTGCTTTTGGCGCCCCCCTTCCTCTGTTAAAGTAGCCATGAAACGAAATGGGGTTGGAATGTTCATAAATTTGCAGAGCGATACTGGTCCTAGGCCGGTCCAAGTATACTCGCACAGACCGTCATTGATTCAGAAGCCTTTTTGCTGCGATGAAATAGCGAGAAAAAAAGGGAACTAATTCTTTCCGTCTGGCCTTTCAAAGTTTGATGACGCGATTGGGGGATCGATACCAGTCTTGGGTAAGTTACTTTAAAAAGTAATTCGTTACAGTTACAGTTACTTTCAGAAAAAAAGTAGCGAAGTTACCGTTACAGTTACCGCAACAAAAGAGTAACTCGTTACAGTTACAGTTACTTTTAAAAAGTAACGACGTTACTTTTCAGTTACTTTTCTATAACACAAAAAAAAATTCGAGAAAACTAGAAAAGACCCCTTACAACGTTTTATTGCATAAAATTAAAAAGTACAATTTTTACTTCATATTGTAACTTAGCAGCTGTTGCTTCTCGAAGTTATTGTTTGAAAGTTTCCACACCAGAGCAGTGGCGCAAATCAAAATACGAAACATGCGCAGTGCGGAGTAGTTGCGCTAATCAAAACACGAGACATGCGCAGTGCCTTACTCATGTATTGCTGTTTCATGGTTAATTCACCCGATTAAAAAGCGTTGGCACAGAAAAAATAAAAACTACAACATAGAGAGGGCCTTCAAGACACTAAGATGTAAGTGTTCAGCCACAAAGTACAAGCGCGCGCGTAAAGGTAACTAGATATTTTTTTCCTAAAATCTACAAGTGGCTATATTTGAGTCGTGACTCGCGGGAAAGAACGTATTCACAACTTTGTGCAAGGCCAACTTGACACTCGAAATGTCGGAATAGACAATTTGGAAAGTGCAAGGAATGGATAAAATGCACCTCGCTCAGTGATATATTATTCATAAAACACTGAAAAGTAACGACCAAAGTAACGTCGTTACTTTCGTCGTTATCTGAGAAAAAAGTAATAGAACTACAGTTACAAGTTACAATTTTAAAAAGTAACTTGTTACAGTTACAAGTTACGAAAAAAGTAACGAAGTTACAGTAACGCGTTACTAGTAACGCGTTACTACTTAAGACTGATCGATACCACCCGCCTGACGCGCTCCACTCAAGCGTGGCTCATGGACTGGACACGAGAACTGCGTGAGCACTGGACTTCTGCTTGTAACAATCAATACCTCGGCGGACACTGGTGTAGTGGCCCGTGTCCAACCACTGCGGTGATGAGAATAGCCCAATTCTAACAATGCCTGGACCTCAGCACGCGTTTTCTACAAGTTGCCAACCCCAGCGCGTGGCGATCATTAACGTTGGCGGCATAGGATAGGCACCAGGCCACCTTAAAGCCCTTTATGTTTTAAAAGTTCCGCAAGGTGCGTCGATGCACGAGGCACGTGCAACGTGCAGCCCTTGGGAAGATCATGGGAAACAGCGCAGCACTGAGCTAGATTTCAGACGCCATGTTCTTCCATGAAGTGGCGCGCGGCACGTGTTTCGAGCATTTCTACAACAATGAAGGGCGTTATACATGATTGAAAACCTGAGACTGTGGTTTCAAAAACAGAAAATCGTGAAGCAGGAAGAAAAAGGGACAGATAACGTCTCGAGAGACTTTGACTGTCCCTTTTCCTGTTTTTATTGCGATATAACCACAATTAACACCATATAACTCAAAATTTGAACATTTGCTTGTTGCTTGCCAAGGCAAACTTTACTTCCCTAAGTATTTTTCTGACGAGAATTTACATGTTTCCTATTTGAGGCATTCCTTTTGCGTTTTCAAAAGGGCACATGTAACTGGTAACCCTTTTTTTTACAGGCAAAAAACTTGGTAAGCTAGTATCCAGACTGGGTACAGGTTTTTCACTGTCAGAAATTCAAGGAGTCGGCCAAGAGAAATACCACGGCCACTCGATTAGGACTCCTCTTGGGAGCGGCCTGCCGTATGCCTCACTCCGCCAGTGAGAGCGATAGTTCTACTTTACCCCGCAGCGCCAGCCGTGGCGCTCGTTATCGGTGAGAGACAGGTGAGAGATAGAGTTCCTTTCGGGGAGCATATCGAGGAACTCTATACTTCGTTTCAGGTTAGTATGTACTTGTTAGCCGCGCGTGCTAAAAGAGCAAGATAGTTGCTTCGAAGGAAGCCTCGGCGGCTGCATGAGCGCTCGTGCAGCGAGTGCTCCAGTCAAGGCAGTAAAGGCTAGCCGCTCGCGCTAGCACAGCGTTCGAGATTAGTCCATGGTAAGGTAAGACGAAATATAGTGAGAGAGGAGCAGTACGCCCGGTCCGGCCCGGTGTGGCTATTTAAATGTTTTTTTTTTCGTGAAGGCGCAAGTCTCAATTGAAACGAGTACCAGATTGCATGAATGATGTGACAAATCTGTGTAGAATAAAAGAATATGATTATTTCTGCGAAAGGCTCACTCAGCTGCAGGCTGCGCGTTAAAGCTGCATTTTGCTGGCAGTATGAGCGAATTGTCGTTTTCTTGTTCCCGTAACTGTTGCCCCGTTTCTATTACCACTGTAATACAGGAGTTATAGTTGGATATAGCTATATGCCGTATGATTTCCGGTTTTAACCGACGCTCGAGCACGCGCGAGCTGTGCCATTTATTCATCTGTAAAGTACAATATCAAATCGGATTCCGCGTTCATAACTTCAGCAATATAAACTTCATTGTTCACAAAAAACAGGCCAAGGGAGCCATATAGTTCACAAGCGGAGTACCTTTCGGGAAAGAGGCTTCCGCGAAAGCCTCGATATATTTTTTAGTGAGCTGTTTAGGTCACCAGCCCAGTTTGCCAAAAAAATATCTGAAGAGTTTTCCGAGAAAGAGCTCGCAGAGCTTTCACTGTGCTAGGGGTCTCGGCAGTTAACACACCACATCAGCGCGCAGTCCATAAGGTGTGGAAGCACAGCGCTCGAGAGGACCTTGCGAATCCTTCCACAACCACGAATCTCTGCCCACTGTAGAGCCCTCTCGACAAAGGTGCAGACGAGCTTGCACAGCCAGACAGCTTCAGGTCGTGGATAGCTGAGTCCTCCTTAATCAAGGCTAAACATGAACTTATATGCTCCGTCATGTGATGCATTTCCCTTAATTTGCGCTTGCATTCAGGACACGTCACCTGCAAAGTTTAGCGGGTTCTACACATTAGCCTTCCTTGCTTTCACTGAGAAATTCTTATTGCCTTGCTAGGTTGAATGTTTCAGCTAATTACTTTGATATCACGACAATTTCTACAAATAAAAATGGCCACCTTTTGTTCGCAACCGAAGGCCAAGTAGCCAGCCATGTAACTCAGCGGTGCGAACTCAAGTTCAGAAGAGACTTCATTGTTCTTCATCAACTGCAGGATTTCCTGTTTCACAAGTGGAGTTGGCACATTTCATCGCCGTCTGGTACTCAGAACTAGAACGCGCATTTACATTTCCGGCAGCTTCCAAAATGCCAACAGAAACCACACACGCGAGCGCAGAGTGACACTACAATATTTTCGCCGAGCACAGCGGTGCATAGGTGGGGGGAAAGCGAGTTTTGCTGCTTTCTGCAACCGCGGCAGCGCCTCGGTATGGGCGAAGCCAATGACAGGCAGATATTTTATCTGGGTAGCGGAGCAAGAGCGCGTTGGGCGCCTTCTCTATACTCCGTTTCACCTTATGTTGTACCGCAGCGAAGGCTGGAAGCGCGAGCTCATAGCGTTGACAGCTGCCCTTACTGCACGAAAGCTTGTGCCGCCGAG